GTCATTATCGACGCAAGTGTTGGAGAGGCAGCGGCTAACTAGGCTAGAGTAACATGCATCGCCTTAGAATTCTTGGAAGGATGTAACCCATAATGAACACATCACTTGATGTAATTAATTTTTAACGAGGTAAACTAATGGCTGGCCTCTCATATGGCTAATAGCAATTCATTATAGCATAAAAGTAAAGGAACACTGCAGTAGGCATAGCTAGTAGTGACCCATGCTAGGGAGGTCGACTCGCCCGTCCAATCTGTATCTAATGCTACCTATAGATCTTGTCTCATTGACATTACCTCAGTTTGGATATAGGGAAGTACTGCCAAACCAGTACTTCCCTATATCCCTTTTAAACGTACATTTGTCCAACTAATCCATTGCTGTGAGTTGTCTTAGATAATATTCAACACGTCATTTATAGGCCCTTTATTCCTGTTTTCTATTTATACACTTGTCATATTGCTCCTAATTCTGCGTTTTTCCAGTGTGCAAATTTAATGCCTCCAGCCTGTCTACAAAGGAATGGTTTCTGATAGAATCCACTTCATCCTTGTCTCAATATTTTCCATCCATATACAAGTATGGCCTTTCTGTAATATGAAGACCAGAACTGAGCAGCATAATCTAGATGTAGCCTTCGCCAAGATATATGAAGTCGAAGTATATTCTTAGGACTTGTAGTGCTTATACTTATTGATAGGAAGCCAAGAATTTTATTAGCTTTATTGCGAACTCTTGTGCGCTGTTGTCTTGACTTCAAATTTGTTTACCCGAACTCCTTATAAGTGCCGTAGTAATTTGATTTTTCTAGGAAATGAAACCTGACAATTGTCTACATTGAACTGCGTCGTCTGCCACTTCTCCGGCCACATTAACTTATCCAGGACATGTAACTAAGACCCGCATCAGGAAACCCTGGACGAATATCACCTAGCACCTTCTGTAAGGGCCATAACTGTAGTTTAATCTGATTATTGTTCGTAATTTGTTGATGGGCGTAATATTTACAAGTGGATTGACCAGTAAAACGTCGTAACCAGCACTAATATTGAAATGAGTAATTAATATCAGGGTTGAAGTGGGGTGATCTAGTTAGGCGCACACTGTCACATAATCCTAAAGTTCATTTACTTTTACAGTTGTTTCGTATTTTCAGACACGTTCTATCCTATTTTTCCAAGTGAGGTGTAAATACCAAGATAATTAAAATAAAAAATATCTTGCTTGAAAGGTAACCATGAGTAGGAAATAGTAGGTTTAGTACTTAATATTTTATTTTTAACATTAATAGCAAGACCACTGCTAAGGAAAGGATCCCTGTATTTGTTGCAGTACATTTGTTATTTAAAATACTAATCCAGAGTACAATAACTGCTCTTTACAAACCTAGTCTGTCACTAAGAATACACACACGCTGTTGTACCGCAACACATCCAGTGCACTGGCTGCATCCCCTTCGCTAACCTTCAACTGTACTACCGGAAATCATCGATATTCCAATGCGTGTCATTTGTGTCTTACATTTTGTAGTGGTCATGACAGGTCCTACGTATTCCTTTAGAGAATATGCTTATCTGTTTTGTATATATGTACGTGTATGTGGGTTATAATTTTACAGCATGTCTTTGTGGGATTTAAATTCCTTAGTCGTAATTGGAGCAGAATACATTGACCTTGACTTCATTCTCATTCTTTCACTTTTGCTTCATTCTCATTTCTTGCTCCTCGAGTTTTTCGTTAATTCCTTTATCTGTTTCGCATATTTTGAGTATTTCTTGTGCAAAATTCTTAGTAAATATTGCTGTAAGTATTAAGGACACTCAGCGCTTTGTTACAATGGCACTCACTGTCTCAGTGTGCTTGCTCTCTTCATTCTGTGTGCTGCATCTTGTGATTTAGACTATGCCCCTGCAGTGACATAACCCAACAGTGAAATCACTCATTGCCAGTAGGCTTGCGTGAATGTTTTTTCTTTCCCTTGGTTAGCTTTAGGTGGTCTCGTGAAGAATTCACCCTCTTAAACAGTTAAATATTGTTTTAAAGAGTTTATAGGTCAGGTGGAGTTTAAATATAGGTTTATAGGTTAAGTAGGGTTCTAATATAGGTTGTCATATATTGTTAAAAAAGGCAGCACATCTAAAATTTGCTCTTTCAGTTTTTCTTGAGTGGAGTCCGTCACATGACCAGCATTAGATAGGGTGCATGAGAACCTGATTCTATTTACATGGTCCCGAATGGCTTTTTAGTCCTAGTGATGTGTTAAGTTATTTAATTAATACTTCTGTTCGGTGACAAAGTTGCCTAGTCATAATGGCATAATGTATGATGTGAAGGTAATTATAAGTCATCTCGTATGACTGGTATTAGTACCAGCAAACAAGGCAGAGAAGGATCGCTATTTACACTGTATGGATATAATTTTGTAAATCCCATGGAATTTTACGGTTTAGGCTACAACTAGTGATTAATGACAACCGGCGTGCAAGACGCCGCCTATATCGTAATAGGACATTTACTAAGACAGCGTTTCCCCCATCATGTTTAAATATACTGTAATTTGAAAGCTAGTTTGTATTGGAAAGTAACACCTTCCCTCGGAAGATTTAAACTCTGGCCCTTTGGATACACAGTCTGGTAGTATAACACTACTGTCACTGGTCTAATGTACATTGAAGAGAGTCGAAGTTTGGCGTTGAAAAAGTTATAATCCAGGTAGCCGCTCAGTCCATCCTAAGAACGTTTGAATTTTACTGTACCAGAACGTTGACTGTACCAGAAACGTTGACTGTACCAGAACGTTGGGACTTCAGTTCACTTTTTTGTGGTGTCCCGTTTTGTGTTAAATCATTAGAACACAATCCTCCGTTAATTTACCCTAAAATAGCGTATACTCGTATCAAGAAATCTGCTTAAATTCGTCTAGTAATGTTTCACCTAAGACGGCAGATTGAGAGCTGGCGAACACTTTGTAGTAGTTATATTATCATTTACTACTACTAAATTACATTTATGGGAGCGCTAAACCTGTAGGGGGTCGTACAGTGCCTTGGAATGGGAGACAGGTTCTATCCAAGGAAGGGGGGGGGGAAGCACAGGTACAGTTCAAGAACCCCAATGGAAATAAGTCTGACTTTTTGGGTTATCTATGTAATCTACACATATACTGCTATGTATGGTAATTTATGTAACTGTATTTATATGTACCTGCACCTGAATAAACTAACTTAGTGAGAAGGTGGGACTAGTACCATTCTCTCCAGTGTTTTGTTACGGAATGAGAGCAAAGGTCACATGTGTTAGGGTAGACTTCACCCTTTTCCATGAGGGTATCGTGGGAAATTGTTTAACAAAACTAATTGTGGGTGGTGTTTGTATTTGGCGCCTGCCTGCCTGCCCGTGTGAATACTAATCTCGAGTGTCCGATCGACTTAAGTAAACTGGAAGCAGCGTCCGGATTTACCTTCCCCTATCAGTACTTCCACCACCTCACAACCCACATCCACCCTCCCCCCCCCCCACATCCACCACCACCACCACCCCACATCCACCCCCCCACATCCACCCCCCCCACATCCACCACCACCCTTCAACTCACCACCACCACCCTTCAACTCACCACCACCACCCTTCAACTCACCACCACCACCCTACAAATCACCACCACCACCTCACAGCCCACCACCCCACCTCAAAGCCCACCACCACCACCTCACAACCCACCACCACCACCTCACAACCCACCACCATCACCTCACAACCCACCACCATCACCTCACAACCCACCACCATCACCTCACAACCCACCACCACCACCCCACAACCCACTTCCCCACAACCCACTTCCCCACAACCCACTTCCCCACAACCCACTTCCACCCCACAACCCACTTCCACCCCACAACCCATTTCCACCCCACAACCCATTTCCACCCCACAACCCACTTCCACCCCACAACCCATTTCCACCCCACAACCCACTTCCACCCCACAACCCACTTCCACCCCACAACCCACATCCACCACCACCAACCCACATCCACCACCACCAACCCACATCCACCACCACCAACCCACATCCACCACCACCAACCCACATCCACCACCACCAACCCTCATCCACCACCACCAACCCACATCCACCACCACCAACCCACATCCTCCACCACTAACCCACAAAGCACTTCAGCCACCATCACCACCCCACAACCCACTTCCACCACCACTCACCTGTTAACATCATTCCTACCCAACATTTTACCAGAAGATATCAGAAACACTGCTGCAACAAATATAAAAGTCTTCAAGAGGAAACTGGACAAGTATCTTCACTAGGTGCCAATCAACCAGGCTGTGGTGGATATGAGAGTCAGCAGGTCACCAAGGGAGCTTTTTCCCACCTTGCTTCACATCCATCTTGAATAATTTTCCCTTTGATTCAAATTTTATAACTCATTTTTTGAGGCTTCAGAAAAAGTTTAATTTCCCAGTGAAGAACTTTTTTTTTTTAGATGGGTATTTACTGATTTCATATAGTCGGACTTGAGTCCTGGAAATGGGAAGTACAATGCCTGCACTTTAAAGGAGTGGTTTGGGATATTGGCAGTTTGGAGGGATATGTTGTGTATCTTTATACGTATATGCTTCTAAACTGTTGTATTCTGGGCACCTCTGCAAAAGCAGTGATAATGTGTGAGTGTGGTGAAAGTGTTGAATGATGATGAAAGTATTTTCTTTTTGGGGATTTTCTTTCTTTTTTGGGTCACCCTGCCTCGGTGGGAGACGGCCGACTTGTTGAAAAAAAAAAAAAAAAAAAAATTTACTGAAGTTAACCACCTCAACAAATTTTGCTAATCTTTAGTTGAATAACAGTCATGGGTAAAAATATTATTTCAAGTATCATTTAAACTTTAAAAAACTAATAAAATACTGGAAACATTAAATTGTATACTGTACATGATGCATATATATATATATATGCTATTACAAGTATTTTGTTTCAGGTGATTACGAAGATCCATATGGCTCAAGAGAAATGTACGAGCAGTACCAGTATTATTATCAGTACTATAGAGATCATCCGTACTACAAGGAGTATTACAGACAATGGATGAAGCAGTATGGGCATGCTTACCCATCTGAATCGTTCTATGATGACCGCACCAGTATTCATTCTGGTCGGTCTTCTGTAAATGATGAGCTCAAAAAGTCTGTCAGCAGGTTAGTGGGAAATTGGTTGTGATTTTCAAGTGTGTGAGAAATGGGGCTTAAAGAAATGTGATAGTAGTTGAGTTGGCACTTGGTATAACTGGACAAAAATAGTATATTCTTAATGTTTGCTTATTTTGGAACATGGTGCATGAACTTTATGGGTTGCTTAAGTGCTATATAATTAATGATTATAAAGCTTGACTGATTCAAATTACATGTGAAGTGATAGATGTAAATTTGTTGAGTAGTGGTAGTCCATGCCATTTAAATGCTAAGTTGCCCAGTTTCTCCATGCCAGCTCAGTTAAGGAATGCTGCATGAAAGTGACAGTTGAGTGACTTCTTTTTAATCCAGTGTGTAGACATTTGTCTTCTCACACTTTTTTTTTTTGCACTTTTTTATATTTTTTGTAGTACAGTACCATTAATCTTATTAAAGAAATAGATACTCCCAATTTTTATATTAAATGTTTAAGATTAATTTATTTAAATGGTGACAATATATAGTAACCCCTGATGTTGATACTTAAGGTGTCAGACTAGCGCTTTAGTCTTTTCTCACAAATATACAGTATGCTGCCTATTTGTGATAGTTGTAATCTCACTGGTGTATACATTGTTTGCAAACAGTCCACGTGGGGCCTATGATCCTTATGGCTACTATTACGGCCACTCGAGTCAACCCTCTTATAATTCCAGGTAAAGAGTTTGTGTACTAGCATGTGGAAGTAAAAGTTCTCCAGTAACTGCTCGATTAACATTTTTGTCTTCCATTCCATTTATTAATTTTTGTTTGTTGTATTTTTCATCCTTCTAGATTCTGTATCTTGGTTATGGAATAGATATTCATCCCATTTTTTAATGTTAACAACCTCCCAGTGCAGAAATCTTATTCATTTAGTTGACATTGGAATTTGGAAAATACCGGTTGCTTAAAAATTCGTGAGTTGAATTAACCATAACATATTATACAGGTTTTGTTTCATTCTAATAATAGTCATATAGTATACTGAACCTACTTAGCTTCTTAAATGTCCAAAGCCTCCTTTTACTCGAGTTTTGATTGCCCTCACATTGCCTCAAAAAGTATTTAGTCCCACTCCAGTTTTGCTTGTGATCCAAAATGTTAGGTACATCTTTGTTTTTGAGAATTAGAAGGAAAATGTAAAAATGTTTTTTAATAGGGCAATGAAAATTTTAGTGTATAAGGACTATGGTAGTGGCAGTGTAGTTAAATTGTAACATTGTCAATTTTCATCCTCTGCGTGTTTGGAGGGAGGAAAAATGAGCTATAGCTCTTCGCATTGCCTTGTAACTTTTGACTTGAATGACATGACATAGCCCTTTCATATCTTTGTTTTTAAGCCCTGAATGAATTCTGCTTCCATTGTTTCATTGTTCAATTTCATCTCCCTATTGAATAAATATTTTCTCTGGCTCATGTGAGTGTATAATTTCTAACCACTTCCTTGTATATTTGTTGTGGCTCTGGGAAGAAGCTTATATCCTTGTCTACCCTGTCTGTGCCTCAGAGTATTTTGTGTGTGATTATACATTTGTGTTTACAAGAACAAATCTTTGCATATGGTGTCTTATCTTCAGTATTTAACCTATTACTGTATATAATTTGTTTTCCTTCTAATTTCTAGCAGATGTAACACTGCTACCACCTTGTATCCCATTGTTCTACCCTTTAGTATACAGAACACTTTTGTAGTATCTTTGGCATGTCACTTTTTCTCTATTGCCTTTTATTCTCTTCTGATATAACTAAGACATATTTACTTCTTTATACCATCCTATTCACATTTGTTTTTTATCTGAGAACACTCAGATTACTCAACTGGTTTATTCTTTCATAATTCTTACTCTGTTGTACCCTTTACATTCTACTAAGTAACTATGCATGCTCTCTGCCAGTCTTAGGTACTGTCACCACTTGCATACATGTATTGAACAAATACACTTGCTACTTAAAGTATTCACATCCAACGACATGTTTGTAGTTATTATTGGTAAAGAAGTGAAATGTTGTTAAGGTTGTCATGGTGGAAGCAGTCTCTGTACAAGGGCTCAAAGGTACATATGGCAGGGTTATTTAATGTCAGTTGGTTGAAAGTTATGAGGTTGAGCCAAGGACTAAAGCTCAACCCCTGCAAATTCAATTAGAGATTTACAGATAGGTAATTCGGTAATTGTACCACATGCTCATGCATATCACTTACCCATTGAAATGTGTTTGTTTATACTGTAATGACACTCGTCATTTCAAGTACTGTGCAGTAGTTTTGTAAATTAGAAATTTTGAGCATCAGGAAATTACATGATTAACCATTTTGTAGTAATTTAAAAGTTAAGTCAGAAGTTAACTAAACAATGAGAAGACACAAATATCACGTGTGTGTAATCCATTCATTTTTTATATGTATGACCCTGTGTGTTTATCACCTGGTTGACAATAATTGCATATGCCAGTGTTTATCACCAGCCCCATCTATTTATTGAAATTGGAGTTTGCATTAATTGGCAGTAGAAATTTATATAGGTATATTTTTATTTAGCTTTTATGATATTTTTCATAAGTATATTACGATCTTTGGGAGCAAGAGGCTAGTAACCCCTTCTCCTGTATACATTACTAATGTTTAAAAGAAACTTTTGTTTTTCTTTTTGGGCCACCCTGCCTCGGTGGGATATGGCCGGTTTGTTGATGGATGATGATGATGATCATCATCATCATTAAGATCTTTTATAAAATAGCATCCTTTAAGTAGCTAAGATAGTTAAACAAGTTCTTTGTATTAAGGTGAATTTACTAGGCTTGAATAGATTAAGTGTGAGGTATTAAAGAATCTTATCATTAACTGTATGTGCACCATTGCATGGATTTGCTTTGCCTTGCATGTTACTGATGGCTGTGTTTTTTTTCTTTTTTCTGTTTGTGTGGTTGTATTTAATGTGCAGCCATTTCATCCAAGATATCCATGGCGGGTCCTCTTTGGGGGCTTATGAGCCCCCTTCCATGTACCCCAACGGGTCCTTCACCCAACTGAAATCTTATGCCAGGTAGGTTATTTTCATTGGCCTGGTATGCCAAACTGAAACAGACATGTGGAAAAGGCTGAACTTTTTTTTTTATGGTTATAAATTCAGTGTTATTCTTACTTTTAGAAAACATAATGTCCATGACTGAATGGATAAACTGTACATCAAATGTTGCAGAATGGCTTTACTGCTTCGAAAATGGGACAAATTTTCTAGGAGCATCCGAAGTAGTAATTAAAAACTAACTGGTATTACATACAGTATTTGTAACCATGCCATAAAGTTTGTGCCAAAAATTTAGATGTAAATACATAAGGGACCTATAATTGTCAAATAAATAATTTTCCACGGATGAGAAGCTTGCTGTTAGTGATTAAAGCTGTATAATGCTTAACTCAAAATGAGGAACATGGTACTAGTGTTATGAAGGATATTGATATACATGCATAACTGATGGTTTTGGGGGGGGGGGGGTGTGAATTTTCCCTATCCAGTGCTTTAAAAGGCAAGATTTCTGTAATACTTCTTATGTGTTTATGCTACCTGCAATTGCGTAGGTCTTTTCTGTTGAAGACTGAGAGACAATTCTGTGGCGGGAGCAGTTTACATGTGACCCAGATTTTTGAGAGGATGATGGTTCAGGGCAGATTGAAACCTCATTTTAAGTTATAGTCTCTCTCTCCTGTTCTTTGTTTAACACCTGCACTTGTATGATTTTCTTCACTTTTCCAGCTCCTCTTAATTTTCTTCCTTGTTGAATTTACAAAAAAAAAATTTTTTCTTAGTCTTTTGCATCGTTTTCTTATCTTACCCTTACAGATTTTAGTTTCCAGACTTTGAGTCATGTACAGAACACCACCTGCTGTAGTTTCTCAAATCTGCTGCCTCCAGCCTCTTATTTTAACTGAAATTCTTTCTGCTGCTATTTCCACTTTCCTGATCACATCCTTCCTGCTGTTCCTGCCTGCCAGTTTCAGCTAGCCTGCTAATGCCTCTTCCAAATTTCCTTCTTCCATTCCTTACCATTTCTTTTCCTTTCCCATCACTTTTTCCTTACCATCCATCCCCTCTCCCCTTAACATCTGCCCCTTTTCTCCCTTCCCCTGCCTTAACCTTGCTCACTCCCTTGCCCTAGTTTCCCTTTAGGTTCCCTTTATTTAAGCTTATATTTCCTTTTCCTCTCTCCTAACATACCCTGTTTTAGCTCTTTTTGTCTTTTCTGTCTTAGGCCCTTATTCTTTGCCTGTTACTGCTGGATTGTTAGCTGCACTACCAAATTCCAGACAAAAACAGCATGTTGTTGTCTGGATATGTGCTGTTATTACAACAGCACATAAGCAACCATTTGCATTGTCTTAGCACATGTTGTTACATCCTCTCCTCACTTAACAACAGGATTCTGTTCCTAAGAGTAAGCAAATTGGTCGTTAAGCGAGGAGCATACTATATCACCTTTGCACCATTTATAACATTCTAGTATATTATTTTTAAATGTTTATACAAGAGTGTACTGTATACTTCTGTAATAAACAGAATAGAGGAAATCAGCTGTAAGATACATTATTTAGGTTTGGATACTGGTTGGAGAGCCAGCCATAAGTCTTAGTGGTTGGCAAACGAGTATGTCGCTAAGTGAGGAGAGGCTGTATTACAACAGAACATTAGCAACCTTTTGCATTGTCTGGGCACGTGTTGTTATTGCAACTCCAGTTAGTCTCGGATGCAATACTGGTGTGATTATTTTAAATAAGTTGCATGAAAAGATTTTTTCCTGTGCTTCAAGTAGTGTCTGGCTTTCTGTGCATTTTATTACCTATTTCCTATACATTTAGTGTATACTTTTAATACCTGTATATGTAACTAAGAGAATTGCTCTTGTATACATTTAAAATGTTAAATAAAAATTTGTTTTATTTCAGTGGTGAATTGAGTGGTGTGCCTTCAGTAGCAGGTGATACTGTCAGTGAAGCTCCACAGCGTATGACTCCAGTGCAGTTTGGCAGACCTCACATCAGTGCTCGATTCACATCTGGTGGCCAGCTAGTTCTGGTGCTGCCCAAGGACCCGAGGGACGGGGAGAAGGCTGTAGTTCAGTTGCGCGATGTGCAGAAGATGCTCTGTATGGATCCTGCATTGAGTAAAACAGTTCAGCAAATGAAAAATTATCCAGGACCACTCACACTGTAAGTTAATCCTGGGTTAATGTATAATTTCAGTTGATTTCATTTTATATGAAGTGGGAGCAAGATAACATTTATGAAGGGATTCAGGGAAACTAGTTAGTTTGACTTGAGTCCTGGAGGTCTGAAGTACTGTGCCTGCACACTGAAGAAAGATTGGGATATTGCAGTTCAGAGAGTCATTGGAATTGTGATGTCTGCACACTTCCAGCAAGAGTGCTATTGAATGAGTGATGGTGATTTTTTTTTTTTTTTGGAGATGGCCTATGTGTCAAAAAGTAAATACAAATAAAATAGTAATGAAATTAAATGAATAAATAAAATCAATACTACTATACACCATGTGTTCGTCAGGCCCATGCTGGAGTATGCAGCACCTGTTTGGAACCCACACTTGATCAAGCATGTTAAGAAATTAGAGAAAGTACAAACGTTTGTGACAAGGTTAGTTCCAGAGCTAAGGGGAATGTCCTACAAAGAATGGTTAAGGGAAATCGGCCTTACGACACTGGAGGACAGGAGGGTTAGGGGAGACATGATAACGACATCCAAAATACTACGTGGAATAGACAAGGTGGACAGAGACAGTATGTTCCAGAGAGGGGACACAGAAACAAGGGGTCACAATTGGAAGTTGAAGACCCAGATGAGTCAAAGGGATATTAGGAAGTATTTCTTCAGTCATAGAGTAGTCAGGAAGTGGAATAGCCTAGCAAGTGAGGTAGTGGAGGCAGGAACCATACATAGCTTCAAGATGGGGTATGATAAAGCTCATGGAGCAGGGAGAGAGAGGACCTAGTAGCACTCAGTAAAGAGGTGGGGCCAGGAGCTGAGTCTCGACCCCTGCAACCACAATTAAGTGAGTACACCAGTTTTTCTTGTACTTTAATGAAAAAAAAGCAAATTTGTGAGAAGTGGCAGAGTAGATAAAAGTACAGTAACAATTAGAACTGTATGATTTGGGAGCTGTCAGTTATATTCATCTATATGAGATATATAAGACCATTTTAATGTTAATGCTCTCCATTGAAAGAATAGCAATATGAACCGAACTATTCATGATTTGATTTTAAAATTTAAGATGTTAATAATTATTTAGAACTACTATTCTTTACAGGTCAGATACTCACAAGGATGTGGTGGTCAAATATTGTGAGCAGCAAGTTGCTGAGGCAGCAAAAAACCAAACTCTACTAGACAAGGAGTCAGTTATACTTATATGGGAATATCTAGCACTACTGGTAAAACAGAATGGTAAACTTTACGGCAGTGATATAGCTGGGCTTTTATTAAGAGGGCGGGAGTTAACCACTCAGCCTCAACACAATAGTATTCATGTGAAGTCTGAAGACAACCCAGAGAATTTCTCCGATGCCAGCCCACAGGACGAGGGAATTGATGTCCAGTCTCATATGCAGTCTTCAACACCAGAACGAAATGAAGCTGTGCTTTTTAAAAAATTCACAGAATATCTCTGCCTAGGAAGGAAACGAGAAGCTGTTGATTATGCTATACGAGAGGGGTTGTGGGGTCATGCTCTTGCTTTGTCATATAAGATGGATACTACTACCCACACCCGTGTGTTAGCAGCCTTTTCAAACTCCATCCCTCACACTGACGTTTTATTAACACTCTTTCAACAGTTATCAGGAAAACGGCCAGAGGTTACCAAGGTGAGAAATGTCTGGAATTGTATGCAGTAATTAACTTACGGTATTGTTAACCATAATGTGGTTTCTCCATTATAAGATGATTGATAAAGCTGAATTTTGTCTCCTCGTTTTGTTATGTCAAATCAGTATACTACATTGTATCTTGCTACTTAATAGGAGGCATTGAATCTAGGTTTGTCCATTTGACTTATCTTAGTTTAAATTTTGTCAGAGTTATATGCCACAGCAGTGGGGTGATTGGCGGCAGCACCTTGCTGTGATGATATCCAATCCTACTGGGAACGTACAGCGTGACCAGGCCTCCATTGTGGCCCTGGGAGATACATTGGCTTCTCAAGGACAGCTTCATGCAGCTCACTTTTGTTACCTTGTGGCTGAAGTAGAATGGGGTTCTTATTCTAATAAGGATTCAAAACTTGTCCTGATTGGTTCTTCTCATCAACTTCCATTCCAGGTGATTGTGTATATATTTCCTTAAATAGTCAAAATATTGATCATAATATTTCCAAAAAGCCTTATGCGAAAGACATGCTTAGATTCATGATCAACACAACAACCAATTTAGTTACTGAACTGGATAAGAAAAACTAAATTTTGTTATTTTTTTTTATTTATTATCACACTGGCCGATTCCCACCAAGGCAGGGTGCCCCGAAAAAGAAAAACTTTCACCATCATTCACTCCATCACTGTCTTGCCAGAAGGGTGCTTTACACTACAGTTTTTAAACTGCAACATTAACACCCCTCCTTCAGAGTGCAGGCACTGTACTTCCCATCTCCAGGACTCAAGTCCGGCCTGCCGGTTTCCCTGAACCCCTTCATAAATGTTACTTTGCTCACACTCCAACAGCACGTCAAGTATTAAAAACCATTTGTCTCCATTCACTCCTATCAAACACGCTCACGCATGCCTGCTGGAAGTCCAAGCCCCTCGCACACAAAACCTCCTTTACCCCCTCTCTCCAACCTTTCCTAGGCCGACCCCTACCCCGCCTTCCTTCCACTACAGACTGATACACTCTTGAAGTCATTCTGTTTCGCTCCATTCTCTCTACATGTCCGAACCACCTCAACAAACCCTTCCTCAGCCCTCTGGACAACAGTTTTGGTAATTCCGCACCTCCTCCTAACTTCCAAACTACGAATTCTCTGCATTATATTCACACCACACATTGCCCTCAGACATGACATCTCCACTGCCTCCAGCCTTCTCCTCGCTGCAACATTCATCACCCATGCTTCACACCCATATAAGAGCGTTGGTAAAACTATACTCTCATACATTCCCCTCTTTGCCTCCAAGGACAAAGTTCTTTGTCTCCACAGACTCCTAAGTGCACCACTCACCCTTTTCCCTCATCAATTCTATGATTCACCTCATCTTTCATAGACCCATCCGCTGACACGTCCACTCCCAAATATCTGAATACATTCACCTCCTCCATACTCTCTCCCTCCAATCTGATATTCAATCTTTCATCACCTAATCTTTTTGTTATCCTCATAACCTTACTCTTTCCTGTATTCACCTTTAATTTTCTTCTTATGCTCACTCTACCAAATTCATCCACCAATCTCTGCAACTTCTCTTCAGAAACTCCCAAGAGCACAGTGTCATCAGCAAAGAGCAGCTGTGACAACTCCCACTTTGTGTGTGATTCTTTATCTTTTAACTCCACGCCTCTTGCCAAGACCCTCGCATTTACTTCTCTTACAACCCCATCTATAAATATATTAAACAACCACGGTGACATCACACATCCTTGTCTAAGGCCTACTTTTACTGGGAAATAATTTCCCTCTTTCCTACATACTCTAACTTGAGCCTCACTATCCTCGTAAAAACTCTTCACTGCTTTCAGTAACCTACCTCCTACATCATACACTTGCAACATCTGCCACATTGCCCCCCTATCCACCCTGTCATATGCCTTTTCCAAATCCATAAATGCCACAAAGACCTCTTTAGCCTTATCTAAATACTGTTCACTTATATGTGTATAATTGGACTTGGAAAAAGCAGAAACACTCCCCGAGAAGACTGTGGATTATGTGATCAAATCTTTAAAACAGATACAATAATAGTAAGAAATTTGCATGCTGTACTGGCTAGCTTCAGTATAACTCTCAGATATTACTGAATGAAAGTGCTGGAGGACAATATGACTTTGTTGTATACTGTATGTTAGACCAAAATTAAAATGTGCAGGTTAGTAGTGTTTTCTCTGCAAAAAAAAAAAAAAAAAAATCTTTCAACAAACTGGCTGTATCCCACCAAGGTGGAAAAAAAAAATATATTTTAAAATTCATCTTAGATTTAAGAAGGATCTCTAAGTGCACCACCTTTACTAACTTTCTGGAACATGAATTTATTTGATTAGAGGATGAAGGTCTTCACTGACAAATCAGTGAGGGTAGTGTTTTTTTTGCAGTGATTAATATTGAGGCATTGTAGTGTGCAAATTCATGAATAGGATAAAATTAAATAAAAGCAAACAAGAAAATCTAACAGTACACAAACCCACTTCATGTACCTTGAGAACATTAGCAAACTTGATAATATATGCTGTAAAAATTATTCATTACACTAATTTTATTCCACAGGCCTTTGCCAGTAATGAAGCAATACAGTGTACTGAAGTATATGAGTTTGCCCGGTCTCTTGACAGTAGTAACCCATTATTGGAAACATTCCAATCTTACAAACTCGTTTATGCACTCAGGCTGACAGAATACGGATTTCCAGCTGAAGCATTAAGGTAATTATATTTTGATTTTCGTAGTAATATAAATTGGACAGAATGTTTTTATGATGGGGTAGTCAGTGGAATGATAAATGGAGGTACTCTTGAGGTATGGTTATATGGAACATACTGTAGAAAAGATAGATGAAGATGTGTGAAAGTTTTACAGTACGGTATACATAAAGGGTACCAGGTTGCTAGTTGCACCACAGACAAGGTAGGCAGGTGTTAATAATTTTCTGTGTAGGTTAAGCTTCATATGTTTCCTGTATTAGTTAATTTAAAAAGCAATTGATTTAGGTTATGCTCTCGTGTTTTTATTTATTGATATAGACAACTCATGATCAGATCATTAATGCGAAGCCTTGACTAGTGAAACCTTTACCGACTGGTAATGTGAATGAGAGTAATAATTTAATAGATCAAATAAAAGTAAGAATAATAAGAACTTGTACCCAACAAAATAAGTAAATGCTCACATTAAAGCAGGCATAATGGGTAGGTCTAGATAATATTGCATTAAATAGTTCATAGACAGTTTTATGAAAGAAAATTATGTAAGAGTACATATATAATGTGCTGTATGACCCATATGGGTTTAGTGCTTGCCTTTATTATAATAATATGAAATCTTTCTAAATTATTTAATTATTTCCAGATACTACGAAGTGATCAGTCAGACAATAAATAAGACTCCAGCTCTACATCAAGTGGACTTCATTTCTCAGGTGTATGACCTAGCTTCCCGCCTTAAATACCATGACCTCCACTATCAGATGTGTCAGGGAGAAGTATCAGAAATGCCAGATCCTAAGTGGCTTGCTGCTCTTCAGGATGTTGTAGCTGTAGCCAAATCCCGTGCATCTAATATGGCAGCAAGAGAGGAAAATTGCCAAACTCAACCTGATCATAAAGTGGGTCAGATTTTCTCCCAAGGAATTCCTGGGACACCTGATCGTAATCAACAAACTTCATGTGCAGCAACTGATGAGCCTACCTTGTCATCTTTCAGTAATTTGGATAATTCTTATCACAATTCAAACGCTACTACTACAACTAATTCCTATTTACAAGATCTTAGTACAATATCTGAAGGCTATACAGGACAGATTTCCCCTGCTGATGTGATGAATGGTGTGCATCAAAATCAGTATCCAGCCACTCACCCAGCTTCATCTCAGTCTCCTGATGGATCAAGTGAAACAAACCAAACAGATATCACAACTCCATCCAAGGTTTGTTCTATGTTCTCGGCAGTGTGCGCATGTTCATGTACTGTAGGTGTATGAGCATGCGTCATTACAACAATGGTATAAAATACCAACATGACGAATTAGGCGATTTATTTGCCAAGCAGTGGCTTTTTCAATTCAGTAGAGATTTGCAAAGACACATGATATATGAGCAGTCCCTCAGCCATGCAGAATTATACACAGGGCTGAGTGACTTATTACCTCATATACTGTCTTCACATATAATTTCTGCACTGAACTGAAAGTCACTGGTTGTTGAAACGTCTTCAAATAAAGATGACCAGGTATTGCACATGCTTAATTCCTTACGAGCATATACAGTGGAATCTCAGTTCTCGAACTTAATGTGTTCCAGAAGGCTGTTCGAGTACCGAACAATAATTTTTATATCTATTGTGACTAACCAATTTTCTTTTTGGTTGGCCTAATCTTAGGCCCCATGGTGACTTATTTACGCAAATAATATAAACACCAAAAAAATGCAAAGAAACATGAAATACTTTACAGCGGAGTTTTGCACTGAGCGACAGCTGCAGAGACTGACGCACATTGTTTGGTCGAGTGCCAAGCAGATGGTTGACTACTGAGCAATTTTTTACCGAACAAAGCGTTTGAATATTGAATTGTTTGAGTTGGGAGCTGTTCAGGTACCGAGGTACTACTGATATTACTATGTGTATTTAAGTTTGTTGGGGGTGAGCTCCAGCTCTAGGTCCCACCTCTTAACTGTTTCAGTTGGAGGGTAATTGACTGTAATGCCATCTCAGTTGGCTGTTGAGTTAAAATAAAATACAGGTTACTACGGCTTTTGAGTGTGTATACTTTCTATAGTGTAATATTGTATTACAGGGGATGATATTGGATTCCTCCATTTCAGTAAGAAAATTATATGTAAATTGTTAAAATTTGCTGACAAAAATCACATGCGTATGGCATTTCTTCGGTGATATTTACTTTTAAAATTTTTTTAAGTATAATTATTAAAAATGGATTGATATTAAACTATTCATCTCCCAGGAAAATACATCACCTAGTGAAGTTGCTATGCTGCAACAGTCTCCTCAAGATCAAGCCCATTATTTGTATAGTGGAGGGTACTGGCAGGGATATTCTCAGCAAGACGCAAATTCTTCACTATACATGCAGAATCATTTCCCAGAATCAACACACAACAGTCTTCCACCCTCTCCAGGTTTGTAATACTTATGTTGTCTGAGGGCAATGTGTGGTGTGAATATTATGCAGAGAATTTATAGTTTAGAGATTAGGAGGTGCAGGCTTACTAAAAGTATTATTCGGATGGCTGAGAAGTTAGAGATGGCTTGGTTATTTAGAGAGAATGGAGCAAAATAGGATGACTTGGAAAGTGTACAAATCTGGGATGAAGGGAAGGAAGGGTTGGGGTCATCTTAGAAAAGGTTGGAGGGAAGGGATAAAGATTTTGTATGCCAAGGGGCTTGGACATCCAAGAGGCTTGTGTGAGCATGTTAACTAGAAGTGAGTGGAGGCAAATTGTTTTTATGATTTGACGTGCAGTTGGAGTGTGAGCAGAGTAACTTGTCAAGGGATTCAGGGGAACCAGTTAGCTAAAGTAAGTACAAAGCCTTCATTCTGAAGGAAATGTGGGGATGTTCCAGTGTGGAGGTTCATCTGAATTGTGATGTCTGCATGCTTATGGCAAGAATTATGAATTATGGTGAAAGCATTTCTTCTTTTCCAGGTCACCCTACTTCAGTGGGAGATGGCCTGTGTTAAAAATCCCCATGACTAATCCAAGTTTTATTGGTTAATTTTTATTAGAAATAACTGATCCACTGATGGCTCTTAAATGCAAATCTTTAATTTACAATTAAGGAATTGAAATTCTCTATGTAGAGGCTTTATGTGCAAGCTATAAAAATCATGTACAATAGTGTTAATGAATTTTAAATTTTATTCAAACAAGTGACTTTACCCATTCTTATTGGTTTTCAGTTCATATAATTTACATGTGTATTTTTTTCAATATTCAAGATACGTATATCTAGATCCATCAGCATCTTGTTCCTTCTGCATACTCCATTCTTTGATGGCAAAACCTCTAGTAATTGTTAATTGCATTGTTTTATACTTATATTCTGGTTTATCGTGTGATGAAAATTATTAGACATTATTTCAATTAACAGAGGGAAGTGGTGAGCAGAGGCCTAGAAGTGTTACATCTCTGTCACAGCCAAATAGCTTGACCCAGTATCAGCAATATCAAGAATCTTATCAAGCTTGGGAACAGCAGCAGCAGCAGCAAATACCACAACAAGCAAATAATGATATATCTGGTACTATTTCATCCAGATCTCAAGATACTACTGACTCAGAAGCTCCTACACAGTCTCACAGAACACCAGAGGAGGAGGCTTATTGGGCAGAAATGACAGGAAAAAAGGTGAGTGATGGCCATTATTTTGACTTCTATTATTTGAGGGCGGGGGTTATTTTTCTTGAATAGGAAAATAAAAGTACTCTTGATCTGCGCTTGGAAAAATTTCTTCAATCAAAATAATTTAAGAATCGTTCATTTTTAAGCTTGTAAAATTTAATACACAGCTTTTCATAACATGCCAAAGTTTGCATATAACTAGCTTTGAGTCACTTTATAAACTACAACAATGCTGTAATTACTCCTCTTTCCCTCCCCCATCACCCAATTTATCTTAAACATAGGAAAACCTGCCTGATTAAATGGTTCAAGATTTGTATTGTGCTGTGGTTGATAGGTTGAAATTGCTAATATTTTGACATAAAACATTGAAGACTAAGCAAGTTCAAAGTTGCATTAATAGTTGATTTCTTGCACCTCCCCCTTTCCTGTAAAAATTCTCTTAATATTCTGCTGAAATATAAACGCATCATAAAATGTTTGTATTCTAACACAATCCATTGTGGTGTGGTTTCTTTTAGGGATTGTTATAAGATTAGTAGTACACAGTGTTATTGTACTCATAATATTTTTAACAAAGTTTACTGTATATTTTGACCTCCAACTGAGGTCCTTCTCAGTAGATAAAAGGAGGAAAACACTGTACTATAATTTTTTCTCTTGTATCTGCTGATTAGAGCCTCAGTAGATGGTTAAAATATACAGCAAACTTTTCCTGTTGGTTTGACATGACTCACGAAATCGTAATGACACGATTGCAAACAAACCATACCACGGGCGGGATTTGAACCCGCGGTCAGAGAGTCAAAACTCCAGACCGTCGCGTTAGCCACTGGGCCAGCTAGCTTCAATAAGATTCGTCCACCTAGGTGTATTTCTACACCATAGGAAGGCTAGCATAGGCACCACTGTGTCCTATACTAACCTGTGCCTATGCTAACCTTCCTATGGTGTAGAAATACACCTAGTTGGACGAATCTTATTGAAGCTAGCTGGCCCAGTGGCTAACGCGACGGTCTGGAGTTTTGAGACTCTCTGACCGCGAGTTCAAATCCCGCCCATGGTATGTTTTTTTTTCCTGTTGTTGTTTCCATGTGGGCTCCAGCCTCTCATCAACAAGTGTTTATTGGTAACATTTTTAACTGGCTTGATGAAAAAAAATTCTCTTAAGAGGGAAAAGTGGGCTGTATCTCCAAAACTCTTTGTGATGATTATTTTGAGAAAAAGGCACTAGCTTAGTCTTGGTATTATCCATAGAGGGGCCAATGTTTAAAGGGTTACTTAAACAAAAATGTTGCATTCCTAACCCAAAGGTATATCAAGACAAAGGTATATCATACACCCACACTTCCTCAAAATAGCACTCAAAAAACATCTCACAAAGTTTGTAAACTGCATCATTTCACAATGTTACTTGTTTTTGTGATATGCTTCAAAGAAAACTTTTTTTTATATAAGTACAGTAGTTAATAAATAATAAATCTAAATAATGATTGTTTATTGAAAATGGGATGCCAGCATTTTGTGTACCGAATTTAATAAAAATGCATCTTAATGCAGTTTGGATAGTAACTTTTTTCTTTTTAACAAGTCGGCCATCTCCCACTGAGGTAGGGTGACCCAAAAAGAAAGAAAATCCCGAAAAAAGAAAATACTTTGATCATCATTCAACACTTTCACCTCACACATAATCACTGTTCTTGCAGAGGTGCTAAGAATACAACAGTTTAGAAGCATACATGTATATGTATAAAGACACACAACATATCCCTCCAAACTGCCAATATCCCAAACCCTTTAAAGTGCAGGCATTGTACTTCCTATTCCCAGGACTCAAGTCTGGCTATATAAAAATAACCAGTTTCCCTGAATCCCTTCGCCAAATATTACCCTGCTCACACTCCAACATCTCGTCAGGTCCCAAATACCATTCGTCTCCATTCACTCCTATCTAACATGCTCACGCACGCTAGCTGGAATTCCAAGCCCCTCGCCCACAAAACCTCCTTTACCCCCTCCCTCCAACCTTTTCGAGGACGACCCCTACCCCGCCTTCCTTCCCCTACAGATTTATACGCTCTCCATGTCATTCTACTTTGATCCATTCTCTCTAAATGACCAAACCACCTCAACAACCCCTCTTCAGCCCTCTGACTAATACTTTTATTAACTCCACACCTTCTCTTAATTTCCACACTCCAAATTTTCTGCATAATATTTACACCACACATTGCCCTTAGACAGGACATCTCCGCTGCCTCCAACCGTCTCCTCGCTGCAGCATTTACAACTCAAACTTCACACCCATATAAGAGTTTTGGTACCACTATACTTTCATACATTCCCTTCTTTGCCTCCATAGATAATGTTTTTTGTATCCACATATACCTCAATGCACCACTCCCCTTTTTTCCTTCATCAATTCTATGATTAACCTCATCCTTAATAAATCCATCCGCTGACACGTCAACTCCCAAATATCTGAAAACATTCACTTCTTCCATACTCCTCCTCTCCAATTTGATATCCAGTTTTTTCTTTATCTAAATCATTTGATACCCTCATCACCTTACTCTTTTCTATGTTAACTTTCTATCTTTACACACACTCCCAAACTCGTGCACTAACCTTTGCAATTTTTCTTTAGAATCTCCCGTAAGCACAGTATCATCAGCAAAAAGTAACTGTCAATTCCCATTTTGTATTTGATTCCCCATAATTTAATCCCACCCCTCTCCCAAACACACTAGCATTTACCTCTTTTACAACCCCATCTATAAATATATTAAACAACCATGGTGACATTACACATCCCTGTCTAAGACCTACTTTTACCGGGAAGTAGTCTCCCTCTCTTCTACACACCCTAACCTGAGCCTCACTATCCTCATAAGAACTCCTTACAGCATTTAGTAACTTACTACCTATTCCATATACTTGCAACATCTACCACATTGCTCTCCTATCCACTCTATCATATGCCTTTTTCTAAATCCATAAATGCAATGAAAACTTCCCTACCTTTATCTAAATACTGTTCACATATATGCTTCAACGTAAACACTTGATCTACACATCCCCTACCCACTCTGAAACCTCTTTGTTCATCCGCAATCCTACATTCTGTCTTGCCTCTAATTCTTTCAGTAATAACCCTACTGTACACTTTTCCTGGTATAATCAGTAAACTAATTCCTCTGTAATTTTTACAATCTCTTTTGTCCCCCTTCCCTTTATATAAAGGAACTATACATGCTCTCTCACAATCCCTTGGTACCTTCCCCTCTTTCGTACATTTATTAAACACGGCTATCGAGATGTGATTGTAAAATGATCCAAGATGGGCCAGAACATTGTTTTCTCTCCAAAATATAAATAAAAAGTTACCAGAGTACGTATGTTATTCAAGTCTAAATTTTAGCAGATATTGTGGTCTTTATGTATTGAATATGGCTAGATCTTCAAGAAGCATTCATAACATACTTTGAACACGAATTAGAATCAGCAGATATAGTGTGGTGCTAGTGTTTCAAGAAACATACTGCACACTAAAAAAAAATTAACTTCAAAGATGTGCCACAAAAGAAATTCCAGAATTAAGAAATACAAATTTAAATAGTAAAGAATAAGTCACAGTATTGTGGCTGGAACAATATACAGTACATTTAGCCTTTACCTAGGAGACTTGTGAAGATTGTACTACTACTACTTTCTTCCTCTCCTCCTTCCTCCCTTTCTTTTCATGGGATTTCTCTGCATTATTCTCTTTCATTTGTAACTTGACAGAAATTCAGGACAGATCAAAATGTTGTCATAAGATTCTGGGTATATTTAAAAAAATGAACATTTCACCATTTAAAAATAAGGTGGTGGCAGTTGATCAATCACATATAAGTACTGATGCACACATTTCACTTGCATGTTCACAATTACATTTACATAATGACAGAAATATCCTTGTATGCACACATTGGGAATTGCATGTATGCTCTCTCTACTTCTTATCTCTTTAATTGCAGGTTCTTTACACCAATTAGTATTTGGTGCATATTTGATAATGTGAAGTCTGTATTGTAAACTAAGATAAATTTTGGTTGAAGAGTATTACTTTGTAAGTGATTTTAGGTGATATATTTTTTACAGTGTGGTTAAAGTACAATACATTGTACATTATGAAAGTTTATTCATCACAAGGCCCATTACTACATCAGTACTGTATTCAATTATTTTTAATTATTATAATTTCTGTGCTATTGCTGCAGCTAGTTGTGTAGTTGAGGTAGAGGTTAGTGCTGTAGAGGTGGAGGTAGGTGACCTTTGGCTATGACTGCTTTGTCCTGTGGATCATAGGGTAACAATGACATCAAGAGTGTGGACGAGAAGTCAGAGAAAGATGACCAAGAGGGAAGCCCAAAGGAGTCCCTAGTCCATCCCCTGAAGCTTGAAAATAAGACCAAGAGGGTGTCCTTCAAGCCCCAGGCAAGTCAGAGGGAAGAGAGAGCGAGCTGGCCTGAAGAGAAGCAGAGGACTATTTCAGCTGGTGAAACCAGTAGTACTTGCTCTGTAATTCAGAGTAGCGCTAATTCTGCTAGACTTCATGTTAGTATGGCATCAGCACATAGGCATTTAGATAATGAATTTTTGCCTTATGCTAAGCACAGCATCACTGGTAATGTTGCCAACATTAAGTTGATGGCTACACTACCTGCTAATCATCCTGACCGTGTATTACCTTCTTCCCGCATTCCATACACTTATTCATCATCCAGACTTTCCAGTTTCCAAAGATTAAAAATTCCCTCAAATCCACTAGTTTTTGGTGGCTCCTTTCCTATTGATGATCCCATATCTGCACGAAAGTTTGGTTCTGACATTGATTGCAAAGCTAAGAATACTGTTTGCACCCCTCGCACCTATCAAGTTGATACTATTTGTTGTCAAGCTCCAAACCTCTGCGATGAACATACTAGGCTTGGGCGAGACACAAATATTGCTAGAGTCGAAGCACGCTTAAAAGCTGCTCAAAGCGGTAAGAAAGAGGAGGAAACTCAAAGTCCAGCTAGCTCTCCACTTGCATCTTTAGCACCTTCCCACAACATTGCTTGTTGCACTCCCTCTCATGTTTTACATCCATATGAGTCACACTCCTTCAACCCTGCCAGTCATCGCAAATGCAATTCTCAACCACCTTCACCATACCAAGCTGTTATCACCTATCCTGTTGACCGTAACGTAGAAGATGGCCTCATTCCCTTAATAACTGATGATGATGAAAATTATGACTACCAGGATGAGGAGTATGATGAGTTTGGAGGAGACGTGTATGAATATGAAGACGGTGAGGAAATAGGGACTGAGGAGTCAGACTATGAGGCCAGCTTCCAGTTGCGCCATCGTCACCAAGCCTCTCTGGTGAGCATCAGTGACCCCACCAACCATACAAGCACTGTTCTCTCATCTCCATCGCCGTTATTGCCGCCTTCACCACAACCATCACATACATTTGATTCAGACGAGAAGGAAAAGCCTTTATTCAAGGGATTCTCTCCTCGGGCATGTCCTTTGGGAGCAGCTGCCTCTGCTTCATCCTACGTATTATCCACTCCTCTGTTTCAACCACCACCACCTCATCAACCACCACAAATGTCAAGTCCACCTCCTCCACTACTGGGCCCTAACAGTCACACGACTCAGGTACTAATGGGCCCTGTGCACGACAAGTTATTTCAAGAGTTATTGCTTGTTGTTTGTGCTTCTCCAGACAATTGTTGTATTTTTTTTTATGTATCTTAAAGAAAAGTATTTGCATGGTCACAGGTCAGTTTATTTTCTCTTATGTTATAGATGTTGAAAGTTGTCCATTTGTGTATTTATTTTTCTTTAGCATGTATTAATTATGCACAACTTTAGATACATGTTGAATTAGAAAAACAGTACTCTGTATTATTTGTCATAGTTTGAAGCAATAACTGTTATATTGTACAATTATACTTGTGCAACAGAAGATACTGAGATATAAGTTGATCATATGGATCCTCAGATAATTTTCTTCTTACAGTAATCTTTTTAATGAACATCATTATTCAAAGGATATAAAATAAATAACTTTAAAATGAATTGCAAATCAGTTGCAGCATTTTTTGGTAGATAACAAGACCTAATGAATAGTATTTGGTTACAGAATGTAAATAACACAACAGATACCTCAAGCAAAGATAAACCAGAAAGTGAAAAGAAATCTAGCCAAGATATAGATAAGCTGCAAGACAAAGGTGGAGGATGGTCCCTTACTTCTCTTTTTGGATGGAAGAAATCTAAACAAGCAGTGCTTCCTGATGATAAGAATCCCACTGTGAGTATTGTGGTTAATTCTGCTACTTGCTTAGTGTATTTGTCTCTGTTCCTGTAATATCAGTGGAAGGTAATTAAATTCAAGGCTCCTTTGTAATCTCAATTACATTCTCAAGAAAAAATGAATATTGAATGTGATTGAGAGATCATGCAAGCACTTGAAATTTACTTACCTTTCACTGGTCAAATTGCAAATTAGGATATGACTTGTTTTTTATAGCTTTAGTGCACCGAGTCATGTACAGGTCGGCTATCACTAATCTAGCTTCATTGGGACCTGTAGTGTGCCGGATTACAGAGGGGTTAGGTTAGAATACACTTAATTAAAGTATCAGTAGAGACTCGTGCTACATCTTCCTCATTTTCATCACTGCTTTCTCCTCCAAGGGCTTGCTGCTGTGGATTTACAACCATCTGCACATTTTCTGAGTCGGTATAATGATGAAATTTGAAATTATGGTAGCCGAAGTTAGTGCCGGATTACTGATGGAACCGGATAACTGATTGCCAAATTAGTGATGGCTGACTTGTACAGGGATACCTTGCTAATATGGTGGGTTAGGTTCCAAACCATCACTATAAAGTGAGTTAGTCTTTTTTTCACTTGCCAATGCGTATAAAAGCACTAGCCCTAAAAAACAAAAGATCCAAAAGTAAATATAAAAAAAATGGCACTGATCAGCTGATGTGCACATCAGCTGAACATAATTGAAAAGCTCCGTATTAGTGAGGTATGCCTGTATTTCTTCTTACTTAAAATATTTTTTTCTGTGCTAATATTAAGAGTAAACAGTTTTAAGTAGGAAGATTTTCTTTTTCATTGTCATTTCAGATTATATGGGATGAAAAGAAAAAGAAATGGGTGAACCAGGATGGTGAGGAGGAAGTGACAGCACCACCTCCCCCTCCTCCTAAAAGTGCTATTGGTGGACCTGGGGCTCCACCTCTTATGATGACAAGAGGTGGCCCTAGAAGTAAGTGCTTTGTCTTGTATATCTGATAAATAATTCTTGCTTTAAAAGATTTCTTGAGTTAATATTGTCACACAGTAACATATGATTAATCTGTGGTTGTTTGCTAGCCACTATTTTATAGATGGACTCCCCTGACTTATGATCCAATTGTTTCTGGAACTCCATTACCAGTCATGTTGTATGACAAATCATAATTTCCAATAGTTGCATTGTTATATATAGTTGTTCTGTTCCTGGAACCAGTGGCATGCCCAAAGAATTGTTTATGGGTTAACTTGGCAGGAACAAAACGGTCATAAATACAATGAGGGGCACAAGTTGACAGGTTGGGAGATGTTTGTACGAGTAATCCTGCAGTGGAGTGGTGCTATGCCTTTCACAAAGGTCCATTTTTCATGTGCTAGACTTTTTAATTGATGCCACTTGGACTACTCATACCCAGTAACCTTTGACTGATCTGATCTTGCCCCCACATTTTTCTGGCAATTTGAATAAAGATGGACTTTTTGAATTTTTATCACCCCTTGACACATTTCAGATTTGTTTTTGCAACAGGCCATGGAGGATACTCCATATCATGCACTTGCATTTTAGCAGCAAAGTGGGTTGTTTGTAGGCAAGCACTGTTTAGATTCCTTGCTCCCTTAATGGCTTGTGAACTGTGGAAAGCGTTTAATGGCATGTGAATTATGGATTTTTAATGGCACATGAACTGTGTGCAGTGTTTAGTGGCATAATGATAAATTTGTCATGCCACACCATTCATATTTTTGCCCAAGTGCTGAATAACGTTCAAGTTTTTGTGCTTTTGTCAGCAAAATATGTTGTCGTGTCAGCTGCTTGCTGCAACTGTGTTGTCTAGTAAGTCTCCTTGTTGGTCTGTAACCAAGTACGGTACCACAAGAATTTGGTGCCCACTCTTCCCAAGGCCAAATTTCTTTCTGTATATGCTTCCCATAGATACAGCACAACATTGACTGCCTCGGTTTTTTTTTTTTTTTTTTTTTTTTTTTTATCAGATAAGGTTGCTCATAGTTTACCAGTGGGCAACTGCTGGCTAACTTAGATATACCAAGATAAGCATATTGTTATTTTGGTGTATTTAGAAATGTCTGTTGTACCCACTCATTCCATACCCATATTTGGCATGAGTTGCCCCATTGCATTGAGTCAGTTAATCTGATCAGAAAGTTTTGTCAGTGCCAATGAATACTGTTCTTGCACCAGAAGCTGTAGGATATGATTGATGAAGGTTACTAATATCAATCTACTTACTTGAGGCAAGATTTGAACCAAGAAATTTAGTTTCCTTGTTCTGCAGTCAAGTAGACAGAAATGATTATTATATATATATTTTTTTTTTTTTTTCCAACAAGTCGGCCGTCTCCCACCGAGGCAGGGTGACCCAAAAAAGAAAGAAAATCCCCAAAAAAGAAAATACTTTCATCATCATTCAACACTTTCACCACACTCACACATTATCACTGCTTTTGCAGAGGTGCTCAGAATACAACAGTTTAGAAGCATATACGTATAAAGATACACAACATATCCCTCCAAACTGCCAATATCCCAAACCCCTCCTTTAAAGTGCAGGCATTGTACTTCCCATTTCCATTTTGTTACTCTATAATGTAGTCAGCAAGTTTATGCCTTCGGGTTGGTCAGTTATAACTGCATCACAGGACGAGCCATAAATGTGGGTAGCGAAGGACACAGAGCTCAAGTAAAACATAAATAGTAAGGTTCATTACAATACTTAGAGTACAATACAAGGTGCTCCTTGACTGCTTCAATGAAGGTTACATTCCGACACCTCTTCAAGGGGGGCTCCTTGGCGTGGTGAAGAGGCTCTTGGTCTGAGGAATTAGACCTGTCGGTCTTCTTCCTCAGACCGAACCTAATTACCCCCCAATCTCCCCTCCCCTATCCCATCCTCCCCATTCTCCCCTTTTTCCTTTCCTCCTCCTCCCCACCCCTCCCTTTTGCCCTTCCTCTTTTCGGCCTTTGGGATTTCTCCCACAGGCGCGCTAGTTCCTAGGTAGGGGAAAGGATACCGGGGTCCATCCCATTCCGTTGAGGTTCTTGGCGGTGGCGTAGTTTTGCCGTGGAATCTGGATCGCCTGGGGATGTCCCGATCCCTCTCCGGTATCCCGGAGTAGTTTTGGGTGTCTTTTGGGCGACGGGTGTATCTCTGGAAGCCACCTTTCGGATTCCGGGGGTGGTGGCCGAAGGAGGTATGCTTTGTGGCGGATATCCGGCCGCCCTCTCTTTTGTCCACCGAGGTAGCTCGGCAGATGTGAGGTTGCTATCCCGGATTGTTAGTTTACTAGCATGATGGGTAGGGTATGGCACGGGTTCCATGCTGCATCTGCACTACTTGCGGTGCTGAGGTCCTCTTGGGCGCGGAGGGAGATTTCTGGCCCTTTCATTCCTCCTAGGAACTATCCCTCCCCGGTCCCCCTTTTTTTTTTTATTCTTTTTTTTATTTTTATTTTCTTTTCTTTCTTTTTTTTTCTTAAAAACAAAAAGAAAGAAGTAACCTAACCATGGCAGCCCTAGTCCATGAACCTCCTACCCTCGGGCCCCTTCTTGATACTGCACCCCGTTCTGACCCCGCCTCGTCTTTGGACCACTCTTCAGACACTCCTCATGCCTCTGTACCTCTTGCCGGTGCTGTTTCCTCACCTGCTTCAGGTACTGAGGCCTCGACTGACTCCTTCGATTTATCGGACCTTCGCTCTCCTCTGACTATGCTTCCGGCCTCTCCCTCTACAGTGCGGCAATTTTCAAATCGCCGACCCGTTCCACGTCGGACCAACTCTGGTCCCACGCCTAAACGCCAACGACAATTACCTGCTGATGATACTTCTCCACCTTCTCGTTCTTCTCAGAAGCGATCGACACGTCCTTCACTACCTTTCCACGCTTGGTTTCAGACTGAACAATGGACTAAATTCTTCACTTTACGACCGACTTCCTCTACTGCCTATCTTTCTGACCACAGTATTGGCAAGGCACTCCTACGCCATATTGGTAAAGATATTTCTTTTCATGCTCTTAAGAGCGGTACGCGCATCATCACCATACAGAATGCTACCCAGGCTCATGAGCTCTCTCGTCTTTCCCATATCGATACTGTTCCTGTCACTCTTGAAAAACATCATTCCCTCAATTCTTGTAGTGGTACCATCATTCTGCCCCATACCATAGTTCAACAAAATTTCCAGACATGTGGCACTGACATTCTTGAACAGCTGGAACTCCAAGATCTCCCAATCGTCAAGGTAGACACTTACGTTCTTCCTGCCCGCGGGCGGAGACGATACCCTAGCAATGTGGCTCGTTTAACTTTTGACAGCCGAGAACTCCCATCCTCAGTTTATATAGCAGGACATCGGTTACAAAGTCCGAAAGGTGATCCCTACACCGCAACAGTGTAGAAATTGCTGGCGATTTGGCCATCCAGTGAAATATTGCAGATCTATCGCCGAATGCCCAGTCTGTGATGCCGATGACCATTCTCATACGTCTTGCAATCGATCTCCCTCTTGCCTTAACTGTCATGAGGCTCACCCTTCGTACTCTCGCCGTTGTCAAGTCTATTTAAACGAGCGGGAAATCCGTTACCTCAAAGAGACAGAAGGTCTCCCTTATGCCATGGCAGTTTCTCATCTCCGCCTCCAAGGGAGACTCCCACATGTTTCTTATTCCCGTGTTTCAAAACGTCCCCCCACTTCTGGTATCCCATCTTCTACACCCACCTCTGTTGTTACCTCTCCCATAGTCACTCCTGTATCTAATCCTTTTGCTGTCCTCGGCTCAGACGTCCCTACTTCAACGCCTCAGTCTGATCTCGCTTCTTCGTGTTCTCTCACAAGCCTCAGTAACGACGAGATCTCGTATGACACCTCCTCCCAATCGTCCCTCTACTTCTCAATAGTCAAAAAAAGGTCCGTTAACACCTCCTACCCATCTTCCACCTCCTCATTTTACCCTCCCTGTCTCTGTCCCTGGTTCTCCACCTCTCACTGGCTCTGTTACAAGTGTAGAGGTTCACCCTCCTCCTCGTACTGTACCTTCCTCCCCTGTTCCCTCCCAGGTTTCTTCCTCTTCTGCCACCTCCCAGGTTTCTGCCTCTTCTGTCCCCTTCCACGCTTCTCCAGTTCCCTCCACCCTTTTGCCCCCCCCCCATACCTTGGTACAGTCCAATACAGTTCCAGTCTTTACTCATCCTCCCCCTACCATTTCCAATATTGTCTCCCATACGACGTCTCTGAATTCCGAAACACTTGAAGCAATCTCTGAATGTATTGCAGAGACCAAACCATCAATGGACACTGATCCACCCTCTGTTCCTTCTCTCTCCTCTCCTCCATCTGCGCAACTCCTTTCTTCACAGCGCACCGTTCCTTCGCTGCTTGAACGTTTTCCACTGCCTCCGCATGTGGACTTTTCTAACCCCTCTAGTCCGTAGGAACCCTTACCTGCGGATTTCAAGTATCTTTATCATTGCCAATCATGGCCTATTTACAGTGGAATATACGCGGCCTCAGGGGTAATCGGGGTGAGCTTCAGATGTTACTCTCCCAGTTTGCCCCTGTTGGTGTTTGCTTACAGGAACCAAAATACACTCTGCTGTTATCTCTCCCATCTCAGGCTATAATTTATTGTATTCTTCAGATACTTTTCCTGATGGGACCTTTAATGAAAGTGCCCTTCTTCTACGCACTGATATTCCTTACCATCAGCTATTTGTTCATACTTCGCTGCATTACACAGCAGCCCGTATCTACTTGCATAGGTGGTATACGCTCTGTTCTTTATATCTCTCTCCTTCTTGGGCATAATCTATTCCGGATATTGCCTTTCTTGTTTCGTCATTACCGCCACCGATTCTGTTACTTGGTGATTTTAATGCCCACCATTTCCTCTGGGGGGGGTCTCACTGTGATTCCCGTGGAATTCAGTTAGAGGCTTTTCTTGCCACCCACCCCCTCCATGTTTTAAATACAGGTACTCACACCCATTTTGATCCTCGGACTCATACTCTCTCTTGCATCGATCTCTCAGTCTGCTCTTCCTCCACCGCATTAGACTTCACTTGGTCTGTTCTCCCGGACTTACATGACAGCGATCATTTCCCAATCATTCTTACTTCCCCTTCATATACACCACCTCTTCGCATCCCACGCTGGCAATTTGATCGGGCAAATTGGAACCTTTACTCACACCTAACTGTTTTTAGAGAGGTTCCTTCTTCGTCCTCCATCGATGAGCTTTTACACCTCTTCTCGTCCTCCGTTTTAACCGCAGCTTCTCATTCTATACCCCAAACTTCGGGCAGGCATTCTCAGAAATGCGTGCCTTGGTGGTCTCCTGCTTGTGCTCGTGCAGTACGTTTGAAATGCGCTGCATGGGGCAGTTACCGGTACAATAGAACCACAGAGACTCCTTGATTTTAAACAGAAGCGTGCAATCGCTCGCCGTGTCGTCCGTGACGCTAAACGCACTTGCTGGCGAGATTATGTCTCCACCGTCACCTCTGCTTCCTCTATGAGTGCAGTCTGGAAAAAAGTACGAAAACTTAGTGGTAAATATTCTCCTGACCCGGCTCCTGTTCTGCGGGTTGCCGGTGTTGATATAGCAAACCCACTAGATGTTGCCAATGAAATTGGCAATCATCTGGTCCGTATTTCTCAGGGACTCCATCTATGCCCCTCATTTCTTTCCTCAAAGTCTGCCAGAGAGTTAGCACCCTTGGACTTTTCTTCTCTCAGAGAAGAACAGTATAATGTGCCTTTTACACTTCAAGAACTGGAGACAACACTCTCAGCTTGCCGATCATCGGCAGCTGGGCCCGACGACATTCATATTCGTATGCTACAACATTTACATCAGTCAGCCCTTGCAGTCCTATTACGCCTTTTCAATCTTATTTGGTCACAAGGAGTTCTTCCACAGCTGTGGAAATCCGCCATTGTTCTCCCTTTCCGCAAACCAGGCACTACGGGACATGAAAGCTCCCACTATCGTCCCATTGCTCTTACCAGTGCAGTTTGCAAAGTAATGGAACGCCTAGTAAATAGACGTTTAGTGTGGTATTTAGAGACACAACAGTCTCTCCACTCGTCAATATGGCTTTTGTAAGGGACGTTCTACCATAGACCCCTTACTACGCTTGGATACATATGTTCGTAATGCCTTTGCGAATAACCACTCAGTTATTGCCATATTTTTTGACCTTGAGAAGGCATGTGACACAACTTGGAGGTATAATATTTTAGCCCAAGCCCACTCCTTAGGCCTTCGAGGCAATCTACCATCCTTCCTTAAGAACTTTTTAACTGACAGGCATTTCCGTGTTCGGGTTAATAATGTGCTCTCCCCGGACTTTATCCAAGCTGAAGGTGTCCCCCAGGGATGTGTTCTGAGCACAACACTTTTTCTCCTTGCTATTAATGATTTGGCCTCTAGTCTTCCATCAAATATTTGGTCATCACTCTATGTTGATGACTTCGCTATTGCCTGTGCAGGCGCTGACTGTCACCTCATTACAGTTTCTCTCCAACATGCAGTCGACCGTGTTTCCAATTGGGCCACCACACTTGGGTTTAAATTTTCCAGCACTAAAACCCACCAAATTACTTTCACTAGACGCTCTGTCATCTCCAATCATCCTTTGTACCTCTATGGCTCCCGTATCCCTTAACGTGATAGTCAAGTTTCTGGGCCTCCTCTTTGATCGTAGGTTATCCTGGAAACCTCACATTACCTCTCTGAAGGCAACTTGTCACAGCCGGCTGAACCTTCTTAAAACCCTTGCTCATCTTTCATGGGGAGCTGATCGTCGAACCCTCCTCCCCCTACATTCCACCCTTATTTTATCGAAACTTGATTATGGTGACCAGATTTATTCAGCGGCATCTCCTGCTACTCTCTCTAGCCTTAACCCCATTCATCACCAAGGATTACGTTTATGCCTTGGTGCTTTTCGCTCTTCCCCTGTCGAGAGCCTCTATACAGAAGCGAACGTTCCATCCTTATCCAATCGCCGTGATGCCCATTGCCTTCGCTACTATGTACGCTCTCATGATCTCCGCAATCCTTCCATTTATAGAATGGTCACTGATATTAGTAGACATTCTTTATTTGTTCGCCGCCCCTGTTTACTCCGTCCCTTCTCTCTTAGCTTTCATTCGCTCTTGTCTTCTCTTCAACTACCACCTTTCTATGTACATGTAGCATCTCACTTTTCCCTACCCCCCTGGGAAGTTCCAGCTGTTCGAGTCTGTTCTTTCTCCCTCCCTTGCTCGAAAGCCCAACTGTCTACGGTCGCTTCCCGCTCTTTTTCTTGACCACTTTCACTCTCATTCTCATGCCATTGCCGTGTACACAGATGGCTCTAAGTCTTCTGACGGCGTAGGATTCGCAGCAGTGTTTCCGGACAGCGTCGTACAAGGGCATTTACTATCTTCGGCTAGTATTTTTACTGCTGAATTGTATGACATCCTTACAGCACTTATCCGTATTGCATCTATGCCTGTGTCATCATTTGTGGTTGTCTCAGACTCCCTTAGTGCTTTACAGGCTATACAAAAATTTGATACACCTCACCCCTTAGTTCTCCGTATCCAACTTTGGCTACGCCGCATCTTTACCAAGCATAAAGATATTGTTTTTTGTTGGGTCCCTGGTCATGTTGACGTACAGGGCAATGAACAGGCAGACACTGCTGCGCAGTCAGCAGTACATGACCTACCAGTTTCTTATAGAGGTATTCCATTTACGGACTATTTGCTGCAATATCTTCCCACCTTCACACCCGTTGGCAACAACGTTGGTCTACTATGCTCGGCAACAAACTTCAATCTATTAAACCGAGTATAGGTTACTGGCCGACTTCTTATCACCAGTGTCGAGGATGGGAGACTACTCTCTCCCGTCTTCGCATTGGCCATACTCGTCTTACTTATGGATATGTCATGGAGAGGCGTCCTGCTCCTCTCTGTGAGAATTGCCAAGCTCCATTATCAGTCAGCCACATTCTGTTGGACTCTCCACTTTATCAACGAGCACGCAGAATTTACCTCTGTCATCGTCTTCGCTCCGCTACTCTCTCTTTACCTTCCCTTCTCGCTGATGGACCCACCTTTCATCCGGACTCTCTCATTGACTTTTTGACAACAACTGACTTACTTCACAAATTCTGATACCTTCAGCCCTTTCTACTTCAATCTCTTGCTACCCTCTACCCCCGTACTATCCCCTGCCCCGCTGTTTTCTGTAACCTACTGATCATCCCTCCTCCCTTCTGCCATCCAATACCCTCGCTTCCTTCCCTACCCTGCAGCGCTGTATAGCCCGTGTGGCTTAGCGCTTCTTTTTTATTATAATAATAATAATACATTCCGACAGACCCATTGCAAGTCGAAAGTATTGTAAGTTGAATATGAATGATATGCTAATTAAATAACTACTGTCACTGAATAAGTAAATAAACAAATAATTACTGTAGCTAAATACTTGTATTGAGAAGTAAATGAATACAAATTATGGATTTGCCACCTTCATGCTAGGTAGTTATCCCAAGTTTCACCACTGAAGTAATTGCTTTTGCACCATCGTAAGTCAAGGAGCATCTGTATAAGGGTCCACTTGAAGTCACCATGATGTGGCTACACTTGTATTGTGGAAGGCTGTGAATATTGTCTTTATATACAGGTAGGTCCCACTTATACAGCAGGTTAGGTTATGGGCTACATTTGTGAAGCAAACATTACTGTAAAGTGAAACATAGCCTTTTTTTTTTTTTTACTTTAAAATGCATTTAAAAGCTTGATAACATGTTTACACTATCATATATTAAGTGAGCAATAGAGCTAGGTCTAAAAAATGCATATACAATACACACATTACTTACCTTAAAGTATTTTTTTGGGCTTGGCTTAGTGAGTGGTTGAATATATTTATAGAAGGAAGTCTGAATAAATGAAGACTGGATATAATTGAAAACTGCTGTTTTAGCAAAATGCCATAAAGGGAAGCTTTGTAAAGCGGGGCTCACCTGTACATTGATTGGGTTCACACCTTGCCTTTTTCACCTTATAAGACCCAAACCAATCACAAATGTTAAGCCAAACAAGACAATAAATTAACTTCTGAGATAAAAGAATGCTTTATGATAATAAGCTGATTTCGAATCTGAAGTCAGAATTGCCCCAATGTGTAAGGATTTTATTAGAAAACTGGAAATCCATTTTTCATGTACTGACTATTGCTGATAGGTTGTGACAATTAAACAGTACGTAAATTCATCATTTGTGAAATATTCTTGATATTTTAGTAAACAATGCCCCCAAAAATATGGATATATTTTTCAAAATGTTTAAAATGCTCACATATTTTGAATACTGCTTATGAGCTTGACTAATAAGAAACATGCATATGTCAATTGTACAATGAGCTTGATATTTTACAAATGATTCTGTACATTTTTCTTTAACTAAAAGTCTTGACATGCTGGGTAAATTCTGAATTCAGATTTGAACTTGGCATATTTGAATTAATAGAGGAGACACACGTACCTCAGTAATTTGTTAGTGAGGGTCTACTATCATTTTATAGACTTGTATTTTAATCCCGAGAGCAAGGGGCTGATAACCCCTTCTCCTGTATATATTACTAAATTTAAAAAGAGAAACTTTTGTTTTTCTTTTTGGGCCACCCTGCCTTGGTGGGACACGGCTGGTTTGTTGAAAGAAGTAGTGTATTTTAATCATCCTACAGTATCTATTTGTAATTGAAGTTGAATAATTACCCCTTTGCAATAATAACCAAAATTAGTGTACCTGGTAGTTAGTTTTTAGGAGCAATTAAATGCTCAGTATCACCACTTCAGTTTTTATCACATTGTACCAAGTGGTGATTTTTTCATTTAAATATTCTTTGACAGAATCACGTTATGTTAACACTGAAAAAGACACAAGTAAGGGAGTGACAGGAGGCATGCCTGTAAATCTTCCAAATTCTATGCTGCCCCCAATGCCAGGGGCATCCATGATGACTGGTGGTCCTTCCATGTCTCCACCAGTAATGGTTCCAGCACCAGTGCAGCCTCGTCAGGGGGGCAGAGATACACCTGATAGTCAGCCACAACCCAGTGTAGGACATAAAGAGCAGCAGGAAGCACTTTTTCCACAAATTGCACCAGCCCCTGCACTACTACCAGATATCACCCAAGTAAGTTCCAAGTGTTTTTATATCTACTGTAGTGTGTAATTTATGTATGTATTTTTTTCAACTCTGACCATCTCTTACCACAGTAGGATGACCTTAAGAAGAAAAATGTTCACTCGATCACCATCTTTCCGAAAGTGTGGTGACATTAGTTAATTACCTTCTGACTGCAACACCCTCCCTCCTTCAGAGTGCAGGCACTGCCCTTCCCACCTCCAGGACTCAAGTCTGGCTAGCCAGTTTCCGTGAATCCATTCATTAAAAAGAATTACCCTGTTCACACTCCAACAACATGTATTGCCTTTCAGTCTCTAAGATCCAAATTCTCTGCATGATATATTCACACAACACATTGCACTCAAACATGACAAAATGTGCTGCCTCCTCACTGCAGTATTTAAAACCTATGCCTTAAATACCTATATAAAAGTAATGGTACCACTATACTGTGGTACATTTAATTTTTTGTCTTCATAGATAGTTTCTTGTCATAGTTTGACACACTATCCACCTCCCCCCCTTCCTCATCTACTACCTCATCTTTCACAGACTTATCTGCTGTCATGTCCACTCCCAATATCTGAATACATCCACTTCTTCCATGCTCCCTCCCCACAGTCTGATATTCAGTCTGTCATTGGCTAGACTTTTTTGTTACCCTCATCACCTTGTGCTTGTCTATGCTTGCTTATTTCTTTCTTTCTACATACCCTCCCAATTTGTTCACCAGTGTTTGCAACTTTCTATGGCATCTCCCAGTGGAACATCATCAGCAAAAAAAAAAAAAAAAAAAAAAAAACTGACAGCTCCCACTTTGTATTATATCCATTATCTTTTAATTCCACATCTCTTCCCAGCACTGTAGCATTCACTTGTTTTGCAACCATGGTGACATCACATATCCATGTTTAAGTCCTACTTTCACTGGGAAATAATAACCCCCTCTCCTGAAAACCACAGCATGAGCGTATCTGCATAAAACTCTTTAGTGCTTTTAATAATCGCACTAATTATGCAATGCATTTGTAACATCTGCCACATTTGCTCCCCTGTCAACCTTATGTTCCTTTTCTAAATCCATGATTGCAAAAAATATCTTACCCCTATCTATATATTCTTCATTAGTATGATTCGATGTAAACTCATGGTCTACACGTTCTCTACCCTTTTAAAATCCTCTTTACTCCTTTGCAATTATAATTTCTATCTTCCCTAATTCTTTCAATACTTATTCTACCTTACACTTAACCCAGTCTATTCACTAGGCTTATCCCCATTACATTTCTTAATTTCTCTTTATTTTTCCTGTATACAAAGTACAGTGGAACCTCGACTTAAGAGTGCCCCAATATGAGAGTTTTTAGATTTACGAGCCATCGTTCGGTCGATTTTTTGCTCTGAGTTACGAGCTAAAATCCGAGTTACGAGTGAGCTTCAGAATGCCGCCGCTAGTTGGTGCAGCAAACACATCTGCTCAGCAGTGCACATTTTTACCTCGCCACGTAAACATTTCTGTGTTGTGTTTGCGTTTTATGCAGTTATTTCGCCAAATTTCTTTTTTCTAACCATGGGTCGTAAGAAAGTAAGTGCAAAGGACAGTGCTGAGAAGAAAAAAGAGAATGATTTCCATTGAATTAAAGGTTGAAATCTTAGATAAACATGAGCGAGGTGTGTTGGTTGTGAATTTGGCCAGGCAGTACCAGCATAAGTAAGTAAGTAAGTAAGTAAGTTTATTCAGGTATACACAAATACAGTTACATAGAATTATCATACATAGCAGCATATGTGTAGAGAACCTAGGATAACCCAAAAAAGTCAGACAGAGTGACTTATTTCCATAGTACTTCTACGATATGTACGATACTAAAGCAGGAGTCGATAAAGGCTATAGTACCAGCCAAGAGTGTTACAATAATTTAAGGTCAGCGATAAAGTGTAGCATTAAGAGTGTAGCAAGTAGCCTATCTTTTCCACCTCCATTTCTGCCAGCATCTGTTCTCCGAGGTAAATACATACACTTTATAAAACCAGTTTATTTCTTTACATTCTCTGTTATGTTTTATGTTTTTATACAATATTTCTTATTTATAAATACATTGTTTGTGCTTTCCTTATGAAACGAGTAATTTAGTGCAGTTAGCCTCACAAACAGTTTTCAGAAGGGGAAGAGTGGGAAGATATGGTCAGAGCGGGAGTGGCTGCCACCACTCGTCACAGAATGACATTTTATTTGTTCTAGAGTATATATTATGTTTCTAAGCTATTTATATTGTTTATTATGTCATATTAGATCAGTTGTGATAGATAAATAAGCCGTAGAGTTGATATTAGCATTACAGTGGACCCCCGCATACCGTTGGCATCACATAATGTTAAATCCGCATAGCAATACATTTTATCACTAAAATTTTGCCTCGCATAGCTCTAAAAAACTCGCTCAACGCTATTCGTCCGAGACGCGTCTATGTGAGGCCTGAGCCAGCCTCACATGTTCCGCCGGTGGCATTGTTTACAAGCCAGCCTCCGCGGTAACATCCAAGCATACAATCGGAACATTTCGTATTATTACAGCGTTTTTGGTGATTTTTATCTGCAAAATAAGTGACCATGGGCCCCAAGAAAGCTTCTAGTGCCAACCCTGTGGTAAAAAGAGTGAGAAATATTATTGAAATACTGTGGTACCATGGTCAACTGCTGATGCTGCTGCTGCTGTAGCACTGTCAGCTGCTGCTGCTGCTGTAGCACCATCAGCTGCTGCTGTACCACCGTCAGCTGCTGCTGCTGCTGTAGTACCGTCAGCTGCTACTGCTGCTGCTGTAGTACTGTCTGCTGCTGCTGTAGCACCGTCTGCTGCTGCTGTAGCACTGTCAGCTGCTGCTGTAGCACTGTCAGCTGCTGCTGCTGTAGCACTGTCAGCTGCTGCTGCAGCACTGTCAGCTGCTGCTGTAGCACCGTCAGCTGCTGCTGCTGCTGCTGTAGTACCGTCTGCTGCTGCTGTAGCACTGTCAGCTGCTGCTGCTGCTGCTGCTGCTGCTGTAGCACCGTCAGCTGCTGCTGCTGCTGTAGTACCATCTGCTGCTGCTGTAGCACTGTCTGCTGCTGCTGTAGCACTGTCTGCTGCTGTTGTAGCACTGTCTGCTGCTGCTGTAGCACTGTCAGCTGCTGCTGTAGCACTCAGCTGCTGCTGCTGCTGCTGCTGCTACTGTAGCACTGTCTGCTGCTGCTGCTGTAGCACCGTTGTTGGTGTGGCTTATTGAGAATACCAAGAAACAATTAACCCCAGAGGGTTAGCCACCCAGGATAACCCAAAAAAGTCAGTGTCATCAAAGACCGTCTAACTTATTTCCATTGGGGTCCTTAATCTTGTCTCCCAGGATGCAACCCACACCAGTCGACTAACACCCAGGTGAACAGGGTAAAATGCCTGGAACTAGTGCTCATATTGGTGAATTTAAAGCCAGCAAAGGTTAGTTTGAGAGATTTAAGAATCGTAGTGGCATACACAGTGTGATAAGTCCTGTTCTGGAAGAAAATGTCAAACAGGACCTACAGTACTCAGGAGGAAAAGGCACTCCCAGGACACAGTGTCTCATCAGTCATTGCTGCATCTTCAATAAAAGTAAGTGTCATTTATTCTTCATTTAGTAGAGTAGTACATGCACAATATATATTGTGCATGTACTACTCTACTATTGTGCATGTATCCTTCTCTTTGTGTGTAGGAAAATGTATATTTCATGTGGTAAAAATTTTTTTTTCATACTTTTGGGTGTCTTGCACGGATTAATTTGATTTCCATTATTTCTTATGGGGAAAATTCATTCGCATAATGATAATTTCGCATAACAATGAGCTCTCAGGAACGGATTAATATCGTTATGCGGGGGTCCACTGTATATTGAAGTATTTTCTCCTGCCTCCCAAGAGCAGGAATTCTGCTGGAACGGATCAATGGCATTTCAATTAATTTCAGCGAGGAAAATTGATTTGATATATGAGCAAATTGAATTATGAGCTAGGTCACGGAACAGATTAAACTTGTAAGTCGAGGTACCACTGTACTCTTGTTTGCTCCCTGCATACTTTCCTTTCTTTCATGATTACAATGGACCCCCGACCTTACGATCAGCTCCCAACTCGAACAGTTATGTAAGGGTATTTTTGTAAGTGCATTTTTGGGGGTCCGAAACGAACTAATCTAATTTACAATATTCCTTGTGGGAGAAATTCGTTTGGTAACGGCACCCGAACAGCCTTCTGGAACGAATTAATATCGTAAGTCGGGGGTCCACTGTATATTGAACAAGTACACCAACCACTTCAAAACCATATCCCTACTTGCTTACTTTCTCTTCCTTACCACCTCATGACCTTGTCACTCGCCAGTCACTCCTCTTCCCACCTTCCTCCACCCTCTTATATATACAGTGCAGTGCACTCGCTGTAATTACCACCTCCAGTTAACCTTAATCACTTTACAAATTAATCCCTTCTCACACTCCAACAGCATGCAAAGTCATGAAAACCACTTGCTTCCACTCCAATGTAATGTGCTCATACATGCGTGTTGGATACTCAAGCCACTAGCACTGAAAACCTGAAAACCGTCTTTACCCCCCCCCCTCTCCCTCTAGATCTTCCTGGGATGACCCCTACATCAATACATATATATACGTATATATTTTTTTTAGTTTCTTTATAAGCCTTGTCTGGTTTACATTGCTTCTTTTTCCTCTAGTGAAGTCTACAAAACTTGGCTCACTTTTTTTTATATAGAGATATAAAACTTCTTGCAAGCTCAGTTTATTTTTGAGTTTGGTTTTATGGATGTTCTAGCATGGTGTTTGAAAGTGTCTCAAAAACAAACATTACATTTAGCTTGCTGTTCAATTTTCATTTCAATAAGTACTGAGGGTAAAATTCTATGCTGTCCAAAGACAATGCAATGACTCGTAAATTAATGAATTGGCTGTCTTTTAATTTGTAATGAGTTCATTGCTGTGTTCAGCATTCCTTTACAAATCTTTCATATTATTCCTCTAAATCATAAAGCATATGAAGGATTTAGAAATGCAAAGTGTTGGTAATACTGTACTTTAATGCATCCCTTGAGAAAAGGATGTTCTCCATGAAAAAAGATGTCAATGGATGCAAACTGATAGAAATGCAAAAAGTAACTTTAGAAAAGAAATATGCACATAATTACTGGAAATGTATATGTATATAAATACTGTAATTCAGAATAATAGAAATTATTATTATTGATGTCATCAGTAATAATAATAGTATGCATTTTTAAGTTGGGGTATGATCCTATATCAATTACTGATTACATAATGCAAAAAATGGTTAAAATTCTATTTTTATTGACCACTCTTTATTTTTCACTTAGATGCATGTTAATAATGATGACGACGATGAGTATGAAGACTGTAGTGAAGCGGAAAGTTTCATTGGTAACTTTGACATTGAATGTTAACATACTGTGTATAAATACTGTTCTGTATTTGTGCTTCATACAGTACAGTACATGCTTGAACACTCGTTAGTACAGTAACCTGCTTAGGTATTGAAGTAAAAAAATTGCTACTGCAAACTAAAATTATTGTAAATGCTTGGCAAAAATTATACTATCACTTTTTTTTTTATGAATAGTAACTATATTCACTGAAAAGTTATCTATCTAGACAGACCACTGTAAAATAGCAAAATTTTTGCTTTATTGCCTGTTCTTTAATTGGCAGTGATACCTAGTGTAACCAATATGATTGCTTGGTAACAGTAGAGTGGACTTGATATGCAGTTGAGCATTTTAGGTTTAAGCATTTGGCATGCATAAAATATTATAATTTTCTGATGGTACACCAATAACCTGCATATTTTCGGATTAGTTTTCTGTATAATGTGACTTTTACCATTTAATTCCTTAGATGAGGAGATCGCGATATATTTCTGAAAGCTCCATAGAGTTAGAGGATGACTGGCCACCAGCCAATACTGAGGTAATGCTCATGATGACTTTAAGGGTTAGGAGCTAAAGGTCACATTACTACTAAAGGAATTAGCATTGTATTGTTCTGCAAAGCTCTTTGCATGAAAATATTAATCTCATTAAGTATATGTTCAGCTTTTGTTTTTTGACATAAAAAAGTTAGGATTGCATCTTGAATTCCTGAAGCTAAATTGTGTTGTCTGATAAATTAAAAAATTTTCATAGAGGTGTTTAGTTGTAATGCAAAATATGAAAGCGATAAAACCATAGCAGTATTGAAATTCTTGGCAAAGTTCGATGTAGATTTTTCACAAGAAGACAATACGGTCAACTCCTTAACCCCCCTTCCCCCAGCAAACTTTTTCAGAACATTATTTGGAAGAGGAAAAACAAATTAGAATGTGTATTATCCACTTTCCAGTAATCTCATGCCAGATGACAGTCGCTAACAAACAAATGTAGTGTGTGGGGCTCGCTTTCTCAATTCAGTCTTACCTCTTTCAGTTCTTTGTTACATAACTACCTGTGTATAGTAACAATAAGCTGTTTTGATCCCTCAAGTACACTAGGTGATTAATTCCAGCAGCATAACCAGTGATGATATATTCCTAGAGTGACATGACTTAAAATCTAAAGCTCTGGTAATAAGGCCTTGCCTCCTTTTCCCTATGTTTCCTTTCTTGTGCTCTAGTCCTTAGGTAAGACTGCATCTGTAATCACATCTAAATACATTTTTTTTTTTTGTTTTAAATTTCACTTAAGAGTTTTTGAGAATAGCAAGGCTTGGGTTAGGGTAAGTAGGAGAGATAGGGGGATTATTTTCCATTGAAAGTAGGTCTTAGACAGGGATACAACAGTGGAGTTGTAAAAGAAGTGAATGCTAGTTTGTTGGAGAGGTGTGGGATTAAAATGTATAGAACCTAAGGTAAAGTGAGAGTTGTCACTTGCTTTTTGCCAGTGACACTGTTCCTTTGGGAGATTCTAAAGAGAGGTTGCAAATGTTAGTGGACGGACGAATTTGGGAGGGTATGTAAATGTATGGAAGAGGGTAAGGTACCTAGGGATTGGCAGAGAGCATGCATAGTTCCTTTGTATAAAGGCAAAGGGGACAAAAGAGAGTGCAAAAATTATAGGGGGATAAGTCTGTTGAGTATACCTGGTAAAGTGTATGGTAGAGTTATTATTGAAAGAATTAAAAGTAAGACGGAGAATAGGATAGCAGATGAACAAGGAGGCTTTAGGAAAGGTAGGGGGTGTGTGGACCAGGTGTTTACAGTGAAACATATAAGTGAACAGTATTTAGATAAGGCTAAAGAGGTCTTTGTGGCATTTATGGATTTGGAAAAGGCGTATGACAGGGTGGATAGGGGGGCAATGTGGCAGATGTTGCAGGTGTATGGTGTAGGAGGTAGGTTACTGAAAGCAGTGAACAGTTTTTACGAGGATAGTGAGGCTCAAGTTAGAGTACATAGGAAAGAGGGAAATTATTTCCCAGTAAAAGTAGGCCTTAGACAAGGATGTGTGATATCACCGTGGTTGTTTAATATATTTATAGATGGGGTTGTAAGAGAAGTAAATGCGAGGGTCTTGACAAGAGGCGTGGAGTTAAAAGATAAAGAATCACACATAAAGTGGGAGTTGTCACAGTTGCTCTTTGCTGATGACACTGTGCTCTTGGGAGATTCTGAAGAGAAGTTGCAGAAATTGGTGGATGAATTTGGTAGGGTGTGCAGGAGAAGAAAATTAAAAGTGAATACAGGAAAGAGTAAGGTTATGAGGATAACAAAAATATTAGGTGATGTAAGATTGGATATCAGATTGGAGGGAGAGAGTATGGAGGAGGTGAATGTATTCAGATATTTGGGAGTGGACGTGTCAGCGGATGGGTCTATGAATGATGAGGTGAATCATAGAATTGATGAGGGGAAAAGGGTGAGTGGTGCACTTAGGAGTCTGTGGAGACAAAGAACTTTGTCCTTGGAGGCAAAGAGGGGGATGTATGAGAGTATAGTTTTACCAACACTCTTATATGGGTGTGATGAATGTTGCAGCGAGGAGAAGGCTGGAGGCAGTGGAGATGTCATGTCTGAGGGCAATGTGCGGTGTGAATATAATGCAGAGAATTCGTAGTTTGGAAGTTAGGAGGAGGTGCGGGATTACCAAAACTGTTGTCCAGAGGGCTGAGGAAGGGTTGTTGAGGTGGTTCGGACATGTAGAGAGAATGGAGCGAGACAGAATGACTTCAAGAGTGTATCAGTCTGTAGTGGAAGGAAGGCGGGGTAGGGGTCGGCCTAGGAAAGGTTGGAGGAAGGGGGTAAAGGAGGTTTTGTGTGCGAGGGGCTTGGACTTCCAGCAGGCGTGCGTGAGCGTGTTTGATAGGAGTGAATGGAGACGAATGGTTTTTAATACTTGACGTGCTGTTGGAGTGTGAGCAAAGTAACATTTATGAAGGGGTTCAGGGAAACCGGCAGGCCGGACTTGAGTCCTGGAGATGGGAAGTACAGTGCCTGCACTCTGAAGGAGGGGTGTTAATGTTGCAGTTTAAAAACTGTAGTGTAAAGCACCCTTCTGGCAAGACAGTGATGGAGTGAATGATGGTGAAAGTTTTTCTTTTTTGGGCCACCCTGCCTTGGTGGGAATCGGCCAGTGTCATAATAAAAAAAAATGTAAAAGAAGGAAATTAAAAGTGAACATAGAGCAAGGTGATGAGGGTAACAATAATATTTAAGTAATGAAAGATTGGATATTAAATTGGAAGGAGGGAGTTAATGTGGTCAGATATTTGGGCATGGCCTTGGTTGTGAATGCAGGAATAGTTGGCTTCCAACCTTGCCTCATTGCTAGCAGTGACCTGGTTCACACACTTATAGCCTCTTTGGCATTATCATACTTTAGAATTATATATGAAATCAGTTTTCACAACTTAATCCAGGCCATCACACTTTCAGACCACCTGTAGGCCAAATAAACATTTGAAATTTCTGTTGCTTATTAGCATCGTTAACTTCCATATATTTCGCTCATTCACATATCTCACAACTTGAAAAAACACAAAACAGAAGCTTAAAGCTAGAAGTAAGTGTTCAGATTTAGGTAAGCATTGGTTTGGCAGTTCAAGTATAGAGGTGCACATAAGTGGAACAAATTGCCAGGTAACATTAAAGTTTTTTTTTTTTTTCAACAAGTCTGCCGTCTCCCACCGAGGCAGGGTGACCCAAAAAAGAAAGAAAATCCCCAAAAAGAAAATGCTTTCATCATCATTCAACACTTTCACCACACTCACACATTATCACTGTTTTTGCAGAGGTGCTCAGAATACAACAGTTTAGAAGCATATACGTATAAAGATACACAACATATCCCTCCAAACTGCCAATATCCCAAACCCCTCCTTTAAAGTGCAGGCATTGTACTTCCCATTTCCAGGACTCAAGTCCGACTATATGAAAATAGCCGGTTTCCCTGAATCCCTTCACTAAATATTACCCTGCTCACACTCCAACAGATCGTCAGGTCCCAAGTATCATTCGTCTCCATTCACTCCTATCTAACACGCTCACGCACGCTTGCTGGAAGTCCAAGCCCCTCGCCCATAAAACCTCCTTTACCCCCTCTCTCCAACCCTTTCGAGGACGACCCCTACCCCTCCTTCCTTTCCCTATAGATTTATATGCTTTCCATGTCATTCTACTTTGACCCATTCTCTCTAAATGACCAAACCACCTCAACAACCCCTCTTCTGCCCTCTAATGCTTTTATTAACTCCACACCTTCTCCTAATTTCCACACTCCAAATTTTCTGCATAATATTTACACCACACATTGCCCTTAGACAGGACATCTCCACTGCCTCCAACCATCTCCTCGCTGCTGCATTTACCACCCAAGCTTCACATCCATATAAGAGTTTTGGTACCACTATACTTTCATACATTCCCTGCTTTGCCTCCTTAGATAGCGTTTTTTGACTACACATATACCTCAATGCACCACTCGCCTTTTTTCCCTCATCAATTCTATGATTAACCTCATCATTCATAAATCCATCCGCCGACACGTCAACTCCCAAGTATCTGAAAACAATCACTTCTTCCATACTCCTCCTCCCCAATTTGATATCCAATTTCTCTTTATCTAAATCATTTGATACCCTCATCACCTTACTCTTTTCTATGTTCACTTTCAACTTTCTACCTTTACACACATTCCCAAACTCATCCACTAACCTTTGCAATTTTTCTTTAGAATCTCCCATAAGCACAGTATCATCAGCAAAAAGTAACTGTGTCAATTCCCATTTTTAATTTGATTCCCCATAATTTAATCCCACCCCTCTCCTGAACACCCTAGCATTTACTTCTTTTACAACCCCATCTATAAATATATTAAACAACCATGGTGACATTACACATCCCTGTCTAAGACCTACTTTTACCGGGAAGTATTCTTCCTCTCTTCTACACACCCTAACCTGAGCCTCACTATCCTCATAAAAACTCTTAACAGCATTTAGTAACTTACCACCTATTCCATATACTTGCAACATCTGCCACATTGCTGCTCTATCCACTCTATCATATGCCTTTTCTAAATCCATAAATGCAATAAAAACTTCCCTACCTTTATCTAAATACTGTTTACATATATGCTTAAATGTAAACACTTGATCTACACATCCCCTACCCACTCTGAAACCTCCTTGCTCATCTGCAATCCTACATTCTGTCTTACCTCTAATTCTTTCAATTATAACCCTACCGTATACTTTTCCTGGTATACTCAGTAAACTTATTCCTCTATAATTTTTACAATTTCTTTTGTCCCCTTTCCCTTTATATAAAGGGATTATACATGCTCTACACCAATCCCTAGGTTACAGTAATAAAATAGGTTAAGCATATAATGGAGGGTTGGTTGCAAGACCTGCCTAGCATAGGCCATTAGACCTACTGCAGTGCTCCTTTATTTTTTTAAGTTATGAACACACTACTTGACTAAAAATCCTCAAGTCTTGTAAAAATATTAAACTTATGACACTGTGTAAGGTAGATACAGTAGGTTCCTGACTTGTTATATTCCACACTTACAGTATAGGCACATTAGAGCTAATTATTACTTGTGAATAGTTTTGCATAAAGATAATTGTGAATATTAGAACAAATTATTTTAAATAATTCTTTTACCAAATGCATTCATGCTTTGTAAATGTTCATGTTATGTTTGTGTGGAGAGTTCATTTATCTTTTATTTTTAGTAGAAATTGGTTAAAAGAACTAATTAAAATCGTTGCACTGGACTGTGGTAGCCATTACCACTGCTGCCCATGTACCGGACATGTTCAGTATGAATAGAGCTCGCCCATGCAATATCCTCTCCTAACACAATTATCCTCCCATTGTCATCCTATGCAATGCACCCAGGCATTTAATTAATGTCCTTGCCATAATACAGTGGTCCCTCGTTTTTCGTAATTAATCTGTTCCTGGAGGAGCTACTATAAACGAAATTTACAATTTGCGAATCAATTTTCCCCATAAGAAATAATTTAAATACAATTAATCCATTCCTGACACCCAGAAGTATTAAAACAAAAAAAAAATTTACATGAAAAATACATGTAGTACATAAACAATACAATGGGAAATGACGAATGAAACATTAACAGCATAACACTTACCTTTATTGGAGATTCTTCTTAGTGTATGGGAGACTGGAGGAGGAGAGAGAGTGGATTGTTTACAGTTTGGAAGGGGAATCCCCTTCCAGCAACACCTCAGGTACCAATTGTTTCTCTGGGGTTGCTTCTCTTCTCTGTTTCTTAATGCCACTAGGACCACCTTGAGTCACTTTAGTCCTGTCTCGCAAAGTAACTGTGGAGAGAGCTCTGTTTCTGGCATCTCTTTAACACTTCCCTAAAATGGCCCAAGACTTTGTCACTGTACATACTTCTCACCTTCTTTACTACAGGCTTGGCACTAGCTTTCTTTGGAGCCATGGTAGCTTATTTAGTACTTGCAAGCACTAAAATGAGTGGATTATGAAATATTTTGTAGGAGCACTTGAGGGGACCTTCACTCACTGGTAAACAATGCCAGACTTGCTGGGTAGGGAGGCCGCCCCGGCTCACACCATGCGTACGCGTCCCGGACGAACTACTATTCGCGAGTCAACCTATGAAAAGCGAGTCCATGTTTATATGAAAATACCCCTATGATTGGCAAAATTTGCGATTGCCAAGAACTACGAAAAGCGAGGGACCACTGTATATATGAATATATATATAAACAGTCTTAGGCATGATCTGAGAGAGGGTGGAAGTGAAAAGGAGAGAGGGTGAAACAGTCCAGTGGCTGCATGTTCCTACACATATCACAATTTTTTCCCCAGATAACCACATCAGTGAGGAAGTGGTGAGCATAATGTAAAGAGTATTGTGTTAGATATGCGAGAGAAGGTGGGAGCAAATAGGAATGAGAATAAGAAAGAGGGAGACAGTCCAGCTGTTGCCTGCCACTACACAAGTTCTGTACTGCATATTGTATTGTATCCGTTTTGATTTATTAACAGATATATACTAACAATGTTTAACACTGAAAGTATTGGGTAAATATCCTTGAAGTAGCTAAAAAATAAATGAAATTGAGTTGGAATATTATGGCTAGATAAAGCATCTCCAGTTATAACATGGGTCTGTGAAGAGAATAGGTTCCAAGTGCTAAACACTCAACTTTCAGGTAATTTTCATGGTCCCATTAATATTGTAAGTGGGAGCTGTTTAAATGTTTGGATAAACTTGGGTATATATGTACCATATATACCTATGTTTGGTACATACATATGTACCATATATACCTATGTTTGGTACATATATATGTACCATATATACCTATGTTTGCATAAATAGTTAGTCTGGTTAGCCAGACTCAAAGCCTTGAGGTGGGAAGTACAGTGATTGCACTCTACAGGAGGGGTTTTGGAACATTTACTGTTTATAGGGACATCTTAACTGTTGTATCTGCAAGACTGATGGTGAGTTTCTTTACGGGTCACCCTGCCTCAGTGGGAGACAGCCAGTGTGTTAAAAAAAAAATAGTTGGGCTACCAGTAATTTACTGACAAACATGTTCTAGATGCTGACAAAGTTCATTGGCATCTTTGTTTTTTGTAGCTACTATTTATCATTGTCATTTAACATCTGTCAATGACAGGAAGTGAAGAGTGCTAAGAAAATAAGGAAAAGTTTTCTATTAAAGGCAGATAAAAAATATTTAAAGTGATGCCCAACTGTTGTCTTGAAGGTATCAACACAGCACAATATAAATACACATAGGAAGTTCAGCTGTTTCATACATGGTGTAAAAGTACTCCATGTGAATTGTAATAGTGATGTGTTGTTCATATACATTTGCTCTTAATGCTTTTTAAATTACTGTCTGAATGATTTTTTGTTATTGCAGTATCCAGCAGCCTGACAAAATACATATAGTATATTTTTTCTGGCCCATTTCTCTTTACATTTATTGCCGAGTCATTAGTAATCTGTGTATCTTACCAATTTCACTGCAGGTTTGTATACATTTTTAATTCCAGTAAAATTTTTAATAATTTTTATTGTGGTCTCTCCTCTGAAATCAGTGTTTCATTGTGCTGTACTTGTCAGAAACAGTAATTTCTTTTTAGTCACTTTTCCTACCTATACACACTGCTTAGAAAACTCCAAACATTCAGACTTTTATAAATAGGTAATTTACTGTCATCATATTCTTTGGTATTGGCAATTAGCCAGTTCTCATTGTATGTCTTTACTGCTTCCAGGAAAGTGGCTTCCTTATATTTATTGCTTTCCTTTCTGGTCACTTTTTAATTTATTTACCTAACATTTGCTGCATTAGTAAGGATTTCAGTCTTGTTGCCATTTTCTGTTAATATTCAAATATTTTATTTTATTTTTTTTTAGCATCAATTGGTTAACACTGTTGTGTGCTGTAGTATGCATGCTCATGATGAGGGGGGGAGAAGCATTGTATTTCTAATGTATTTTATCAAATACCATTATTTAATTTTTAACACTTCCAGTAATTTTTTTTCATAATTTTACTTAGCTAAGCATGACACCCTATATTAAATTACTCTATACCAGTTTCATCAGTTATCATTCAGGTGGATATATGCTACTAGTATTAATATAAAGCTTCAGGAATTATATAGTAAACCATTCTCAGTTAAAAAACTTATAATAAAGATTACACTTAGGAAGTTTGCAGAACATTTTTTGTTTCCTTCACTATCTAGTCATGCTTTCGTGTCTCATATCATAAAATGACCTTTAGCTTTAGACTCGAATGTTCACGATGATCTGGAAAAGTGGCACTATCTTCAACGATGGAGGTAGATCCATGTTCTCCCAGTCTTTCATGTGATGCAAAGCTTTGGGTTCTTGCTGGTTCTGGGCAGTGTGATGAAAGTCAACACCAGTGTGACTGAACAGTTACTTTCAAGTGTTCACGCCTGAAAGTTTAATTCATTACCATACCCATTGTCTCAAATGTAACTATGTACTATTTGTTTCCAGACCTGAGCCTGACAAGGAAATCTGTGTATTTTTTATACAGAATTTGATTTGATATTCAAGTCTGGTTTTTAATTTCCTTTACTAGCAGTGTGGCTTATGTAATATTATTTTGATAACTGTTCAGACTTAATTTAAAGTTTGAAAGTGAATGCCAAGGGAGTTTATAATAGTGGTAATCGTGTTCTCCAAGCTTGAAGTTTATAAATTGATTTTTGTAGTATTGCAAATTAAATTGATACTGAGATGTGATTCTGGTAAGTACACAAAATGTTACCTACAGCATTAGGTCATATATAAGTATAGATTGTATTTGCATTAATTTTTTTACTAACCAAATGAATTTTCATACTGAACTGTACATACGTGGATTTTTTGTTACTATAGATTTTAAAGTTGGTAATGACAGCTACTGTATTTGGTGAAGCTGTGAACAGGTACAGTAGTTGCTAAGTGAAGTTGTTATCTAATGTCTCCATCAATGCGCGAAATTACACGAGGCAAACATTTGCTAAGCGAGCAATCACTGTACAGTATTTATGTATCATTTGCCAGCTTACAATTGAATAATAATAATACTAAAGTAAATTATTATTGTTGCTCATTATTTGTGAATTGGCTGCAGCATTGAAAAGGTGCAATAATTATCATTAACCCTTAAACTGTCCAAACAGATCTATGTTCACATGCGTAGTGCTCCAAAAGTAGATCTACGTTTTTTACATACTTTCAAATATAACAAAAAAAAACGTTGACTGAAGTTTTTTTTACACTTTTTCAAATGTAAAAAAAACAAAGAATATCTACGCTTTTTTACATACTTTCAAATGTTGAAAAAACGTAGATCTATGTTTGGACAGTTTAAGGGTTAAAGTACTGTAGTTATTACTTTTACATATAGAATTCAGATTGTATTGAAAGTAAATTTATATATATATTTTTCTGCAAATACAATTTGTCATTCATCTTTATTGTAAATCATATTTAAAATTATTTCACCATGCAAAAGAAAATATATTTACAATATTTTTCAGTGCTTAACTATGTATTTCTTATTTTAATTATCAGGGGACATCGAATGAAGGAGGTGAGGGTACTGGGCTTGTACCTATGATAGGTCCGCCAGCTGGCCAACCGCAATTTTTCAACCCTGCTCAGTTTCAGCCATCCACTAAAGCCAGCTCTAATCAAAATAGGAGACCTGGCCCTGGGAGACGAGCGTTCCCTATAAAACGATAGTTAACATTGAAGTTGTTAGTAACTGGAAAGGGTTACATTAATTTTTTCCTGTGATTTATAGTTTTAATATACAATATTTAAATTAAACAAAATTTAACGAAATATTTATTGAATGAATTTTAATGGTGAAATGGCACGAAATGCTAACTATATAATGTGGGGATCAAGCAATTTAGAATTCATTACTTTGTTAAACTTGAGTTCTTAATAAAGCAGTGAAACCCAATTTATTGTGCAACAATAGCAAGAAACATAATAAAGTTGCTGCCAATAATTCAGTCAGTCTTGAACTAGAAATACTGTCCAGATGGTTGTGGTGGTAGATAAAGTTGAACACGAAGGTGACTGCATTGTATCATACTGCATGTAGATTATTATTTTGCATTTGTATATGAAGACTAGCTCATGGACAATTTTTAGTTGTGTATTATATTTGTGTTCAAGGAATATACCTATTGCTCTCCATTTCTTTGTTTTCATTAGTAAAATTGTATGTATTGGCCACACAAAGGATAAAGTGCAATGATATTTAATAATTGTAAATTTTTATTACAAAGTTGGAATATACAGTATATAAATGTGTTAATTTTTTTTTTTTCAAAATGCCCCAGATTAGTTGTGTAAGTATATATTTATAAAAGTAAATATAAAGACATATACAGTATCTATTATATATACTGTACTGTAATAGTATAGCTGTTCAATGCTTATTGCATTTTCAGGGGTTTGACATTAGGAGGCCTGATCATCCATGCTCTAATTTAAAATGTTTTATGTAAATGAGAGATGCCACAGATGATAGCTGGAATTAGTCAGTGCCAACAAATTGACCTACAGATCTTTGTTTAGTGTAGTGCATCCAATTAAAAATGTCACAAAGAATACCTGGTTATTGTATGCATGCATGTTGGGTTACAAATAATTTCTATAAATTCTTTCTTGTGTGGATGAATGATGCTTTGACACCTATCATTCTAGCATTCTCCTTGCCAAGTTTAGTGGCTGTATTTATTAATACTACATTAAAATATGAATATAAATGAGATAGGTGATTGAAGAATAAATTTAATGGAAGTGCATAATTAACTATTCAGATTTTACCATAGTTTGATATAATTTTTTATTTTATTGTATACTGGTCATATAGCCTTATTTTGTGGGACAATTTACCTTTCTGAAGGTTGTAGTTAGTCTGCATAGTAAATTTCACCAAAACGTATATAACTCGTGAACTATAGTTTTGGAATCTAAAGTTTAGAAGAATGAGCCTAGTTACTCAGGAAGAAAGCTGATCCTGGTGTTCATAGATTACATTCTTCACCAATAGGTGCTTTGTGCTATGGTACTACTTGTGGTTATGAAGGGCTTTTGCAAGGAATTTTTATACATTTTAGTAAATTTTACTCCTAGTACTTTAATTTTTTCCAACACCTTGAATTATGGTGTAGCATGTGGCAATTCAGTAATAATTTTTAATAAATTGAGAGCATTGATCTCCCTAGTTTTCAGGTACTGTAATGTTAAAATAGCTCACAATGCTAGTGGGGAAAAATATATACCATACTGTATTTGCATCTCATGGAAACGAGGAACTGTTGGGATCAAGGCATTTGTCTGTTTCAAAACTTATGTTCTTGGGAAATGTTAAAAAGTGATTTTTGTAATATATTGGACAAATACATTATAGTCTTTTAATAGTGGGCAATATTGAGGTGAATAGTTTGTGGCTTCAACACAGGAACTTGGATAGTTTAAAATTTCCTATTGTATATTAGAAATTTTGTTTATCTTCATTTTATTATTTGTAATATATATATATATAAAAACCAGCACCTTACATTGAAAGCAATGAAAATAAAATGGTATGGGTATACTTAAAATATTTTATGTACATACTTTATTAATATATATGTGTGGCCCCTTCATTTTAGTCTTCAGTTTCCTTAAATATGTTATTTTTGCTTGTATTATTATTATTATAATCAAAAAGAAGCGCTAAGCCACAAGGGCTATACAGCGCTGCAGGGCAGGAAGGAAGCGAGGGCATCATGTGGCAAAAGGGAGATGGATGAGTAATAGGTTGTGGATAACAGCGGGGCAGTGGATGGTGAAAGGGTAAAGGACAGCAAGAGACTGAACTACAAAGGGCTGAGGGGAGTGCGAAATGTATCATCATCAGAGTTTGTGGAGTAAATCAGTCGTTGTCAAGAAGTCAATGAGAGAGTCAGGATTAAAGGAGGGTCCATCAACAAGAAGGGAAGGTAAAGAGAGAGTAGTAGAACGAAGACGACGTTGGAGGTAAATTCTGTGTGCTCGTTGATAGAGAGGGCAGTCTAACAGAACGTGGCAAATCGATACTGGAACTTGACACTGCTCACAGAGAGGAACAGGGTGCCTCTCCATGAGTAAGACGAGTGTGGCCAATGCGAAGGCGGGAGAGAGTGGTCTCCCAACCTCGGCACTGATGACAAGAAGACGGCCAGTAACCTATGCTCGGTTTAATAGAATGAAATTTGTTACCGAGCAGAGTTGACCAACGTTGTTGCCAACGGGTGTGAAGGTGGGTAGCTATTGCAGCAAAATAGTCCAGAAATGGAACACCTCTATAGGAAACTGGTAGGTCATGTACTGCTGACCGCGCAGCAGTGTCTGCCTGTTCATTGCCCTGTACGTCGACATGACCAGGGACCCAACAAAAAAAAAATATCTTTGGTAGAGATACGGCGTAGCCAAAGTTGGATACGGAGAACTAGGGGGTGAGATGTATCAAATTTTCGTACAGCTTGTAGAGCACTAAGGGAGTCTGAGACTACCACAAATGATGACACAGGCATAGATGCGATACGAATAACTGCTGCAAGAATGGCGTAAAAATGCTAGCCGAAGATAGTAAATGCCCTCGCACGACGCTGTCCAGAAACACTGCTGCGAATCCGACACCGTCTGAAGACTTTGAGCCATCTGTGTACACAGCGATGGCATGAGAATGAGAGTGGAAGTGATCAAGAAAAAGAGAGCGGGAAGCCACCGTAGGCAGTTGGGCTTTCGAGAAAGGGAATGAGAAAAACAGACCCGAACACGGGAAAACTTCCCAGGGGGGTAGGGGAAAAGTGAGTTTGATACATGAACATGAAAAAGGGGGTTTAATGAAGGGAAACAAGGGGAAATTTTTAGGGAAGAGAAAAGGGGACGGGCAAAGGGGGCGCAAAACCAAAAAAGAATGTCTACTAATATGGGGGCCCCCTAAAGGAAGGCTCCTTGACGCTGGTGGGGGGGCTCTTGACTGGGGAAATTGGATCTGTGCCCCCATTTCCCCTGAATTAACCCCCTTAACCTTTCCCCATCCCCCCTTAGGCGTGTTTTTAACCCTAGGGGGTTTAGTGTTCCCCCCCCTTGTTTAAAATAAAATTTACTAATACGGTGACCTTTTCTATAAATGGAAGGATTGTGGGGGATCGTAAAGAGCTACATATTTGGGAAAAGGAAAAAAGGGGGGCATCCGGCAAACGACAAGGATGGAACATTCGCTTCTCCCTTAAGGCCCCCCAACGGGGGGAAGGGGAAAAAAGGGGCACCAAGGCATAAACGTAACCCTTTGGGGGTGAGGGAGGGGGTTTTAAGGCTAGAGAGAGAAAAGAAAGGAAAGGCCGTGAATAAATCTGGTCACCATAATCGATTTCGATGAAAGGGAGGGGGGAATGTGGGCAAAGCAAGTTCGACTCAGTCCCACAAAAGGGATGAGAAAGGGTTTTAAGAAGGGTTATAGCCGGCTGGGGACAAGTTCCCTTTTCAGAGAGGAAAAGTGAGGTTTCCAGGATAACCTACGGTCAAAGAAAAGGGGCCAAGAAACCTAATTGGATCCGTTGGGGGATACGAGACCCATAGAGATACAAAAAGGATGATGGGAGAAGAAAGAGCGCCCTAGTGAAAGAAATTTTTGGTGATTTTTGGGTACGGGGAAAAATTTTAAACCCCATGCGTGGGGGCCCCCAAGGGGAAACACGGTGCCCCCCCAACTAGGAGAAAACTGCAAGGGAATGAGCAGCCCCTTGCACAAGAAAAAGGAAGTATCAACATAGAGTGTTGCCCAAAAATTGGGTGGAAGAACAAGGCCAAATCATTTATAGCAAGGAGAAAAATTGTTGTGTCAGAACACATTCCCTGGGGGACACGTTCAGCTTGGAAAAAGCCCGGGGAAAAGCACATTTTTTTAAACTCAAACCACAAAAGGGCTGTCATTTAAAAAGTTTTTTAAGGGAAAGGGTTTGGTGGGATTGCCTCGCCGGGGCCAAAGGAGTGGGTTTTTGGGCCAAAATAAAACCCCCAAAGTTGTGTAAAGCCTTCTCAAGGTCAAAAAAAGGGCAAAAACCCGGGGAGGGGGTTTTTTTGCAAAGGGCTTTTACAAACATGCGAAGGGGGGGTTCTATGGTAGAACGGCCCTTACGAAAGCCATATTACTAGGGAGAAAAATTGTTTTGTTTTCGAAATCCCCAAAATTAAAACGGCGATTTACCAGACTTTCCATACTTTCCCAAATTTGCACTAGTAAAAACCCGATGGGACGATGTGGGGGGGAAATCATGCCCGAAATACCCGTTTGCAAAAAAGGGAGAAAAATGGCAAATTTCCAAGCGGGGGGAAAAAACCCCTTTTGTCCCCAAAAAAAGAATGAAGAGGGTAAGAGGACTAAAAGGGTGCCCTTGATTTTAAAATGTTTTTAAAAACATGCGAAAAGGGAAATTCGCAGGTCCAGTCCCCAATGATCGGCAAGTTTGAGAGTGTTCCCCCCAGTTCCTAAAGTGTAAAAGGCACTTTAATACTGTTTTTCTTTTAGAGAAAAAAGTCCAAGGGAAACAAATTTGGGCAGACTTTGAGGAAAAAAAACAAAGGGGCTAGATGACCCCCCGGGAAATAGGGGACCAGATGAGTCCCAAATTTTCAATGGCAAGGGTCAAGGGGGTTTTGCTACATCAATACCGGCAAACCCGTAGAAAAGGAGCGGGGGTCAGGAGAGTTTTTTCCCACTAAATTTCCCCAAATTTTTTACGGGACAAAAATCATAGGGGAAAGCAGGGGTTTGATGGGGAAACATAGCCCTCGCCAAAAAGTGCGTTTACCCTCACGGATGACACGGCGGCGATCGAAACGTTTCTGCTTAAAATAAAAAAAAGGCTCTCTTTGGGTTTTCTTTTGTATTGGTCCCTTTCCCCATGCAGTGCGTTTCATCGTACTGCGGGGGGGCCCCACCAAGGCACGCATTCGGAGGGGTTTGGGGTTTAGAATGAGAAGCGCGGGATAACTGACTCAGAAGGGGGTTTTAGGAGCTATCAATGGAGGGATGAAAAAGGGAAACCCTTTCCTAAAAGAGTGAGCTGCGAGAAAAAGACCCCCAATTTCCCCCGGAAAAATTCCCAGCGGGGGCAGGGAAAGGGGTGAAAAATGAAAAATTAAAAATGATTGGAAAATGATCGCTTTCATGTAAGCCCGGGTAGAACAAAACCGGGTAAAGTTAGTGCAGGGGGGGAAAGAGCAAAACGATAGATCATGCAAAGAGAGTATAAAGTACGAATAAAATGGTTGGGAGTCCCCGTATTTAAAAACTGGAGGGGGGGGGGGGAGGGGAAAGGGGAAAAAGCCTCCAATTTAATGCCACGTGAGTCACAATGAGCCCCCCCCCCCAGAGAAAATGGTGGGCGTTAAAATCCCCAACAGAAGTGGGGGTGGTAAGGATTAAAAAAAAGAAAGGGGGAAAGTCGGGGGTAGAAAATTTCAAAAGAAGGGGGAGAGATATAAATAACATACTGTAAAAACCCCTTATTTTTAAATGGATACGGGCGCAGTGTAATGCAAACGAGGTTGGGCAAAAAAGTTGACAGTAGGAATATCTTTTCTTTTGAAGGGAAATTTTCATTAAAATCCCATTGAGAAAGGATCCGAAGAATAAAAAAATAAAAAAAATTTTTAGCCGAGATAAGGGGGGAAAACGCTGGGTAATTTTGGTTTTTTGGGAAAACAAGCACCAAAGGGGGGAAAAAATGGGGAAAACAACAAAATGAAGCTCACCCCGAATTTTCCCCTGAGGCCGGGGGGAAAATTCCCACTGTAAAAGGCCATGAATTTGGGGGAAAAAAAAAAAATACCCCGGGAAAAACCGTAGGGGAAAAAAACCTACGGACTAGAAGGGGTTTAAAAAGGGCCCCGTGTGGTGGCATTGGAAGAAAGTTCAAGAGGAAAGGGAAAGGGGCTTTCGAAAAATGGGGTTGGGGGAAGATGGGGGAGGGGGGAAAAAAGAAGGAACAGGAAGTTTAATTTAGTGTCCATTGAATTTTTTGTCCCCTGCAATATATTCTGAAAAGGCTTCAAGTGTTTTTTTGAAAATTTAAAGATGTATGGGGGGGGCCCTATTGGAGATTGAAGGGGGGGGGGTTTAGGGGAAAGATTGGGAAAAAAATGGGGCGTACCAAAGTAAGGGGGGGCGAAAGAAATGTAAGGGGCTGGAGAAAGAAGTGTGGGGGGGGGGGACAAAGGCAGAAACCTGGGAGGTGGCAAAAAAGAAAAAGGGGGAAACTTGGGAGGGGGGGGGGGGTGGAAGGCCCAAATACGAGGGGGGGGGGGGGTGAATCTCCACACTTTTAATAGAGCCAAGAGAGGGGGGGAAAAACTAAAGGCCCCAGGACTGGAAAGGTTTAAGTAAAGGAGGGGGGAAAAAAGGGAAGGGAAAAAAGGCCCAAAAAAAATTTTAACCAAAGTGGATTTTTGGGGGCTTCGGGGAAGTAAAAAGGGGGGGATTTTGGAAATTTGGTTCCCTACGGGGTCTTTTGGGAAAGGGCGCGAAAATGTGGGGGAACAACCGATTGTAGTTGGGACCTCAGAACCAAGGGCAGCAAAAAGGGTTTGATTTCCAGATGGCTAGGGAGGGGGGAACAACGAGGAAACCGCAGAAGATGGGACCCCAGAAGGGGGGATGTTTTTAAACAAAGGGGGAGTCCCCTTGGAGGCGGAAAATTTAGAAAAAGTCATAGCGTAAGGGGGGGCCCTTTTGCCCCTTTGAGGCAAACGGTTTTTCACCTCATTTAAATAGACCTGGCAAAGGGGAGTAAAGAAAAGGGGGAGCTTCCTTACAAATTTGGCCCAAAATGGAGGTTGAAATGCAAGATGTTTTTGAATGGGTTTTCGGGACCACAGAATGGGCATTTCGGGGTATAGATCTGGGAATATTTGCCTGGGTTTACCAAAAAGCCAGCAAAATTTTTAAAACTGTTGCGTGTATAAACACCTTTTAACTTGAACCGATTCCCCCCCGCCCACCTTTTCAGAGGACAGGAGTTCTCGGCTTTTCAAAAGTTAAAGAGCCAATTGCAAGGGGAAGTTTTCCGCCCACTGCCGGAAAGGCATAATGTCTACTTTTTTGGGGTTGGGAATCCGGGGTTCCAGCGTTCAAAAATTCATTGCCACATGACTGGGGAAATTTTGTTGGACAAAGGTTTTGGGGGCAGAATGACAGTCCACTACAAAAAATTGAGAGAAAGATGTTTTTCATATTTTAGGAAAATAGTATCGAATTCGAAAGGGGAGAAAAAACATGAGCTTGGGTAGCATTCTGGACAGTGACGATGCAAGTACGCTCTTTAGAGCATGAAATGAAATATCTCTACCAACATGACGCAGGACGCTTTTCCCAAAACTATGGTTAAAAAGAAAGGCAAAGAAGAAGTCGGGGCTTAAAAATAAAGAATTTTTCCCCTTTGTGGTCCCAAAATGGCGGGAAGGGAGGGCATGGGCTTTTCCCGGTTTTTTTCCCCCAGAAAAAAGGGAAAGGAAAAGAAAAGGGCAACAAACAGGAGATTGATGTTGGCCCTTTTTGGGAGTAGGAAACCCGGGGTCCGGACCGGCGTGAAAAGGGGGGGGCCCTTTTGAAAATTTCCATACCCTAGAGGGGGGAGGCCGGGGGCATAGTCAAGGAGGCGGAGGGGGGGCAGACAAATCGAAGGGGTCAAATCGAAAACCCCGGGGGACCTGGAAAAGGGGGAGGGAAACAGCACCAGCAAAGGTAAAAGGGGGTCAGGAGTGTCCCAAGAGCGGGGCTAAAAAAAAGGGGAGGGTCGGGAAAGGGGGGCGGGATCAAGAAGGGGCCCCCGGGGGTTTGTGGGGTTTATGGAAATTGGGTTTTCCCCGGTTAGGGTTTTTTCCCTTTTCTTTTTTTTTAAAAAAAGAAAAAAAGAAAATAAAAAAAAAAAAGGGGGGGGACAGGGGAGGAATAGTTCCCAGGAGGGAAAGAAGGGGGCCCGGGAAAACCCCCCTCCGCCCCCCCAAGGGGGACCTCAGCACCGCTAGTAGCGCAGATGGGAGAAGGAACCCGTGCCATACCCAAACCCCTTTATGCCAGTAAACCCCGCAATCCGGGAAAAGCAACCTCTCATCGCCCCAACTACCCGGTGGACAAAAGAGGGGCGGCCGGGTAACCACCACCCAAAACAACCTCCCCTTTGGCCACCACCCCCGGAATCCGTAAGGTGGCCTTTCCCGAGATACACCCGTTTGCCCCAAAAAGCCCCAAAATATTCCCGGGTTCCAGAGAGGGATCGGGGCATCCCCAGGCGATCCAGATTCCACGGCAAACTACGCCACCGCCAAGAACCTCAATGGAATGGGATAGACCCCGGTATCCTTTCCCCTACCTAGGAACTAGCGCGCCTGTGGGAGAAATCCCAAAGGCCAAAAAGAGGAAGGACAAAAGGGAGGGGTGGGGAGGAGGAGGAGGAAAGGAAAAAGGGGAGGGGGGGATTGGGGGGTAATTAGGTTCGGTCTGAGGGAGACCGACAGGTCTGATTCCTCAGACCAAGAGCCTCTTCACCACAACAAGGAGCCCCCTTGAAGAGGTTTTTTTTTTTTTTATCACACTGGCCAATTCCCACCAAGGCAGGGTGGCCCGAAAAAGAAAAACTTTCACCATCATTCACTCCATCACTGTCTTGCCAGAAGGGTGCTTTACACTACAGTTTTTAAACTGCAACATTAACACCGCTCCTTCAGAGTGCAGGCACTGTACTTCCCATCTCCAGGACTCAAGTCCGGCCTGCCGGTTTCCCTGAACCCCTTCATAAATGTTACTTTGCTCACACTCCAACAGCACATCAAGTATTAAAAACCATTTGTCTCCATTCACTCCTATCAAACACGCTCACGCATGCCTGCTGGAAGTCCAAGCCCCTCGCACACAAAACCTCCTTTACCCCCTCTCTCCAACCTTTCCTAGGCCGACCCCTACCCCGCCTTCCTTCCACTACAGACTGATACACTCTTGAAGTCATTCTGTTTCGCTCCATTCTCTCTACTTGTCCGAACCACCTCAACAACCCTTCCTCAGCCCTCTGGACAACAGTTTTGGTAATCCCGCACCTCCTCCTAACTTCCAAACTACGAATTCTCTGCATTATATTCACACCACACATTGCCCTCAGACATGACATCTCCACTGCCTCCAGCCTTCTCCTCGCTGCAACATTCATCACCCACGCTTCACACCCATATAAGAGTGTTGGTAAAACTATACTCTCATACATTCCCCTCTTTGCCTCTAAGGACAAAGTTATTTGTCTCCACAGACTCCTAAGTGCACCACTCACTCTTTTCCCCTCATCAATTCTATGATTCACCTCATCTTTCATAGACCCATCCGCTGACACGTCCACTCCCAAATATCTGAATACATTCACCTCCTCCATACTCTCTCCCTCCAATCTGATATTCAATCTTTCATCACCTAATCTTTTTGTTATCCTCATAACCTTACTCTTTCCTGTATTCACCTTTAATTTTCTTCTTTTGCACACCCTACCAAATTCATCCACCAATCTCTGCAACTTCTCTTCAGAATCTCCCAAGTGCACAGTGTCATCAGCAAAGAGCAGCTGTGACGACTCCCACTTTGTGTGATTCTTTATCTTTTAACTCCACGCCTCTTGCCAAGACCCTCGCATTTACTTCTCTTACAACTCCATCTATAAATATATTAAACAACCACGGTGACATCACACATCCTTGTCTAAGGCCTACTTTTACTGGGAAATAATTTCCCTCTTTCCTACATACTCTAACTTGAGCCTCACTATCCTCGTAAAAACTCTTCACTGCTTTCAGTAACCTACCTCCTACACCATACACTTGCAACATCTGCCACATTGCCCCCCTATCCACCCTGTCATACGCCTTTTCCAAATCCATAAATGCCACAAAGACCTCTTTAGCCTTATCTATATACTGTTCACTTATATGTTTCACTGTAAACACCTGGTCCACACACCCCTACCTTTCCTAAAGCCTCCTTGTTCATCTGCTATCCTATTCTCCGTCTTACTCTTAATTCTTTCAATAATAACTCTACCATACACTTTACCAGGTATACTCAGCAGACTTATCCCCTATAATTTTTGCACTCTCTTTTATCCCCTTTTCCCTTTATACAAAGGAACTATGCATGCTCTCTGCCAATCCCTAGGTACCTTACCCTCTTCCATACATTTATTAAATAATTGCACCAACCACTCCAAAACTATATCCCCACCTGCTTTTAACATTTCTATCTTTATCCCATCAATCCCGGCTGCCTTACCCCCTTTCATTTTACCTACTGCCTCACGAACTTCCCCCACACTCAACTGGCTCTTCCTCACTCCTACAAGATGTTATTCCTCCTTGTCCTATACACGAAATCACAGCTTCCCTATCTTCATCAACATTTAACAATTCCTCAAAATATTCCCTCCATCTTCCCAATACCTCTAACTCTCCATTTAATAACTCTCCTCTCCTATTTTTAATTGACAAATCCATTTGTTCTCTAGGCTTTCTTAACTTGTTAATCTCACTCCAAAACTTTTTCTTATTTTCAACAAAATTTGTTGATAACATCTCACCCACTCTCTCATTTGCTCTCTTTTTACATTGCTTCACCACTCTCTTAAGAGGTTTTTGCTTGTAAATAATAAATTTAATATGTGTTATATGAAAAGTATATTTGTCTGAGATTGTGCAAACTTTATTTATGCTGTATAACTTTTAATTTGGAAAAGTGGTAGGATAGTGTTTATCAGTCTTCACCTGCAGGATAACCATGGAGACTAACAAATTGCTGCTGCAGTGTACACTTTCTGGTTTCACATTCAAAATGTGCTAGACCTGTGAGGGGTCAACATTTTATCTGTATAGTTGAACCTGCTTGTGGGATTAGCCTATTAGTGGGAACACACTTCTGGCAAGTGGATCGAGGTGAAACAGGATGCTTGTTGCTGGCTCTTTTCTAATCATTATACAATCCTATAGTAGACTGGCTACTTGTACAGTATACATTTTAACATTGGTCCTGGTAGACTTGAATGGTGCCTAAGTTGTGATGTATCCTTGTACCTCTTCAGAGATGCCCAAGATCATTCAATAGACCTGGAAGTAGTGTAGCTGCAGTCTAGTTTTGTCCTGTCATAACCCTCACCTGACTGACTTGCCCAGTGTATTTCCTTGTGTTCAGGTTCTGTCAAATTAATCTGCCCAGTGAACCATCCTTCATGAGGAACAGTCTTCAACCCTGAGGGATGTACAAAAATTCCCAGCAGAGTTGCAATGGTAATGTGGTGTAGATAGCAGGCCTCTGGTAGTGGTATGACAATAAGTCTCAAACTGGGATGGTAGCATGGTGCGAGTCACACAACTATGCATGGATGGTAGTGTGGGTAGCACACATGCTGGAGGGAACAGACCTCACACTGTGGACAGCTAGTTAAACTTGGAACAGCAATAGTCTCCAGTCATATATGGGTTGCACACATGATTAAGAACCATCTGTACTGCCACGCTTAAAGCCTCTAGTCCCACGTGCATTCTTTCAACACAGTGCCATGAAATTTGGCTAGAAAAGGTTGAAAATGTTGGAAGTGAATTTAGTTCAATATTTTTATCATACAAGTGCATACAGTCCGATCTTGAAGCATAAGCCACAGGCAAGAAGGAATCCCATATTACAACTCCAGATGGCTGTAGCTCCATCTGGGCATTCAGGAGCCACTCCAGTATATCATTTTCTTGTTGTGTAAAATGTCCCTTATTACCTGCAAAGATAAGAGTTTGATGTGATCAAGAGGTATTTTTGTTAATTAACCTAGCCTATCCTAGCCATCTTAATTTCTACACTCTGAACCTACTGCATAATCAGTCCACAGATTACTCTCAAACAAATCTCTACTGCCTTCTTGCTGAAACATTCAAAACGCATGTCTTGCACCCATACAAATGTTAACACTATATTCTGGTACATTTCCTTTATCTATGGAGGCAAAAAAGTAGTACGACATGGGTTTACAGCTTATTTATGATTATAATATGGAGGCAAATAACACTATTTCTACATATGCCTCATCTGTTCTATGGTTCACCTCATTTTTCATGCATATATATTTATGAGAAAGTGCTAAAACTGTAGGGGTCATACCATGACTGGAAACTGGGAGGCAATCAGGGTCAAACCAAGGGAAGGACATGTCAATTCCTTGGACCAAGAGCCTTTCATTGGCATCAAGGAACCTTCCTATAGGGGAATGAAAAATGTATAATTGCTATAATACTAAGTCCAATACATTATAATACTTGAGAAGCTAATGAGTACGTTTCTCTGAATTCCTTGCCAAGAATACGATAACCAACCATTCAAGGAAATGCTTGAATGGTGGTAAAGGGATTTGGAGCTCCAAACTTGTACTGTGGTTTGGAGCTACACTTTCCCTTGGATCAAACCTGATTACTTCCCAGTTCCCATGCCTTTCAAGGGAGGTTCCTAGAGACCAGTGAGGGGCTTTGTCCAAGGAAATTTACCTGATCACCCCTTTGTTGCATCAAACATGATTGCCTCTCAATTCACCCTCCCCCCAAGTGCTATATGGCCTCTACAGGGTTAGGCCCTACATGATTGTAATATATTACTATCATATTCATGGGGAAGCACTAAACCCTCAGGGGCCATATAGCACCTGGGGAATAGGAGGCATTTAGGTTCAATCGAAAGGAGATGATAAGCCATTTCCACAGATCAAGAGCCCCTCACCAGCATCAAGGCACCTCCCTTGAGGGTCATACATTACACATGCTACTAACACAGGGAAGTGACCTCCATTCTTATATCAGCAAATTGTGCCTCAATAACCTGGGTACTACATGACCCCCCTCAGCATGATCAGTTTCCCAGGCGTTGCATGACCCATTTACCATAGTGTACGACCTCTTTATGATTCTTATAGGATGAATACTTCCACATGTATATTAAAATAATGAAGTAGCACTGCAGGCAGGATGCTTACTGAAGTCATGGCTGATGTACTCCTTGAAGGGATCAGGCAAAGCCCAGACCAGAGTAGCACGGGTTGACAGATTTTGCAGAAGAGGCCGCAGTGTACTCATCACACTTACAGCTGCCTCGTCTATCTGCTGCAGAACAGTTGGCTTAATATCCATCAGCTGCCATGCTCCTGTGTCTGCAAGTACTTTAATTATAATCGGGGAAGCGCTAAACCTGTAGGGGTCATACAGCACACGGGGTGGGAAGTAATAAAGATCGATTTAAGGGAAGGAGAGGTCCACCTCCTTGGATCAAGAGCCCTTCACTGGCATCAAGGCCAACCTCAGAGGAAAAAGCAACTTAACAATGAAGTGACACTCATACGAGTGCCGGAGTCAGGCTTCTCCCCAACAAGGTCAACCACATTTATAATACCTGCACAGCCTACAGTTGGTATTCCACATTTACACAACCTACAGTTGCTATTCCACATTTACAATACCTACATTTGGTATTCCGCATTTACAATACACAGCCTACGGTTAGTATTCCACATTTACAACAGCCTACAGTTGGTATTCCACATTTACAATACCTACATTTACACAGCCTACAGTTGCTATTTCACAATGGAAGGTTTCCCAAGAATAATGATTAATTTGTAATAAAGAATAAATTAAACTATTATGTATGTTTTTGAGATGAGTACATTTTGTGTATATAATAATACGATGTTATGTCAATAATTTACATTTCTAGAGTATAGGCATGTAAAAATGACAAGTACTGTATAACTCATTCGGGTTTAGCACTTTCTTGTAATTATTTTTATATTTTTTTTAACATACTGGCAGTCTCCCACTGAGGTAGGGTGACCCGAAAAAGAAAATACTTGCCATCATTCACTCCATCACTGTTTTGCCAGAGGCACGCTAATATTACATTTCACATGCCCTTTAAACATTCAGTATCCCCACCCCTCCTTCAGAGTGCAGGTGCTGTACTTCCCACCTCCAGGACTACATCATCCCCACCCTTCCTCCAGAGTGCAGGTACTGTACTTCCCACCTCCAGGACTATAACATCCCCACCCTTCCTTCAGAGTGCAGGTACTGTACTTCCCACCTCCAGGACTGTAACATCCCCACCCCTCCTTCAGAGTGCAGGTACTGTACTTCCCACCTCCAGGAGTATAACATCCCCACCCCTCCTTCAGAGTACAGGCACTGTACTTCCCACCTCCAGGACTATAACATCCCCACCCTTCCTTCAGAGTGCAGGTACTGTACTTCCCACCTCCAGGACTGTAACATCCCCACCCCTCCATCAGAATGCAAGCACTGAACTTACCACCTCCTGGACTCAAAATCTGGTTAACCTGTTTCCCTGAATTCATTCACACAATGTTATCTTGCTTACACTCCAACAGCTCATCAAGTCCCGAAAAACATCTACCTCCATTCACTCCTCTCTAACACGTTTACACAGCCTGCTGGATGCAATCAGTTTAAACACTAAACTCACACAAAGAACAACGAAAAGCAAAATAAGAATAGGAAAAATACTGTAGCGGTTTAACTGACAAAACAGCGGCAATTCACGAAATAAAACAAATGGGGAATGTGGCAAAATAAAATTTTTTTTTTTTTGTGAATGATATTTTGATTCATTAAATTACCTAGTGAGTGAGTGTGTCACGACACTTGGCATTTAAAAGTCCCTTAGAGTAAAAGCTAAGAATCTTAAATTTTGAAGATAATGCAACTTATTTCGATAGAGATGAATCTACCACACCACTTCCCTACATGTATCAGTTTGTGTACGAATGGTATATAATACCGACAAGATGAGAGTAAGACACATGTGCAACATCTGGGTATCTTTATTGTAGACGTTTCGCCATCCAGTGGCTTTATCAATACAAATTCTAGGACATAACTTGAAGACAGTAGAACTATGTACAGAAGATGAGGTAATCAGTCCCTCAACCTAGGAGTAGGTGCGAACAGCACCATAGTCGTGGAGATTCTGAAGCAGAAGAAAGAATCCTGGCGCTTATATAGTAACGTCAGGTGAAGCAGACGTTACTATATAAGCGCCAGGATTCTTCTGCTTCAGAATCTCCACGACTATGGTGCTGTTCGCACCTACTCCTAGGTTGAGGGACTGATTACCTCATCTTCTGTACATAGTTCTACTGTCTTCAAGTTATGTCCTAGAATTTGTATTGATAAAGCCACTGGATGGCGAAACGTCTACAATAAAGATACCCATATGTTGCACATGTGTCTTACTCTCATCTTGTCGGTATTATATACCATTCGTACACAACTTGTCAGACACTGCAACATCATGGAATCTTAATTCTGAGGACATGTACATAACCTTCACGACTACGACAACTAACCCATCTCTTTGGGAAGGACCTACTTCCACTGGGGAATCCCGCCTACCAGTGAATTTGCCCTCGTCTGCTTCACCTGACGTTACTATATAAGCGCCAGGATTCTTTCTTCTGCTTCAGAATCTCCACGACTATGGTGCTGTTCGCACCTAGTCCTAGGTTGAGGGACTGATTACCTCATCTTCTGTACATAGTTCTACTGTCTTCAAGTTATGTCCTAGAATTTGTATTGATAAAGCCACTGGATGGCGAAACGTCTACAGTAAAGATACCCAGATGTTGCACATGTGTCTTACTCTCATCTTGTCGGTATTATATACCATTCGTACACAACTTGTCAGACACTGCAACATCATGGAATCTTAATTCTGAGGACATGTACATAACCTTCACGACTACGACAACTACTACTACAACTAACCCATCTCTTTGGGAAGGACCTACTTCCACTGGGGAATCCCGCCTACCAGTGAATTTGCCCTCGTCTGCTTCACCTGACGTTACTATATAAGCGCCAGGATTCTTTCTTCTGCTTCAGAATCTCCACGACTATGGTGCTGTTCGCACCTACTCCTAGGTTGAGGGACTGATTACCTCATCTTCTGTACATAGTTCTACTGTCTTCAAGTTATGTCCTAGAATTTGTATTGATAAAGCCACTGGATGGCGAAACGTCTACAATAAAGATACCCAGATGTTGCACATGTGTCTTACTCTCATGTATCAGTTTACCTGTATTTATTTGCCTCCCTATTTAAGTCAAACTGTATGCATCTCCCTACTTATTCCGTATATATCTGCCTTTCTGTATGCATCAAGCTTTATGCATTTGCCTACCTGCATGTATTTACCTACCTGTATATATCCACCCTGCTGGATCAGGCTAAAAAAAAAAGGCTTCTCTAGAGGGGGTTTCTTAATTCAAGGACTTGGATCTGATTTCTTGAATCAAACTGATTCCCACCTAGGTTATCTCTCTTCTCCCACTCTACGAATGTAATAATAATAATAATAATAATAATAATGAAGTATCAGACTCACAAGAATGATGTCACATCCACAAACTGCATATTAGTGATGGGACAATACCAAAATTTTTGCAAATACCAATGCCAATACCATCAAAATTAGCTGAAGACACACCTACTGCGTATATTACTACAAATCTCGTTATGAGAAACTTGGGTACACGAAAAAAGAATAGCTAAAATCCCTAAATGTATCAAGAGCACTGCGTGCACACAATACAAGATTATTAAAAGTGCTAAATAACAAAAAAAAAATTGAAAACTTACTTAAAACGATAATATCTGGTATCTGGTCTTGGGGCGCTTTAATCCAGCGATGGAGAAGGTCCAGGGCGCCCACCATAACATCTCCTTCATTTCTAGGTGTCTGTCCCCTATCTATGAACGCTGCCCAGTGGAAATCCACAATAAGCCCGGGAGCCTGGCTACACTCAACGCGGAAGTTGTGCTTGTATTTCCTCCAGTTCTTCAAGCCTTCCTCACCCAGGAATGTCTCAACAGTGATGACTTCACCCTGCACAACAGTGGCACATTTAGCAACCAGCATTGTATAAAGAAACGCGTTATAACCACCAGCATTATAAAGAGAAAAGTTTTGGGGTCCCACCTCCTGTTGGTGGCATGCCATAAGGCTAGAAACGTGCTGGGCGTGGATGCAAGAGATCTTAAGTCTGTAAAACGCAAGAGGTTCTCACCAGGTGTGTAGTGATCCTAGGTTGGAGGCTCCGAATGAGGTCGAGGAGGACCTCGAGGTGCTGTCTAATACGCGAGTCCCCGACGTAAGCTATGTGAGTGGAGCCAACACTCTCGTGCCGCCTCGCCACACACATGCGTAGGTCTTCAGCCTGCATCTCCCGCATGCGGCACGCCAGGTGAGGCAGCTGACCCTGTGTCTGCTGGAACCTCCACGTCTGGATAATACAGTAGATGTGAAAGAGATTTTAAACATCCTAGGAAGAGTCTATACAGAACTAGTGGCACAACTGAACGTTGAAAGTCAAACAAAATGTGCTCACCAAGGTTCCATTACATACATAGTACTGTATATTCTCCACATGTTTTGTTATATTATATACAAATTATAATAAAATAGATAAATTACTTCTAATATTCCCGTAATCTAAGTACAACGATAAAAGTATATAATACCTGACTCGCGAAATCGTAATGACACGATTGCAAACAAACCATACCAATTGGTCCAGTGGCTAACGCGACGGTCTGGAGTTTTGAGACTCTCTGATCGCGGGTTCTATCCCCTCCCGTGGTATGGTTTATATAATACCTCTCTATTGTTAAAACAGCTATGCCAGGATGGAGGAAGTTTAACAAAATGGTACAATTTGTGGGTGGAGACAAAAAGTACACGAGGAAATGAATATAAAGATTTTCAACAGATTGCGTGTAAAAATCTGAAAAAAAAAAATAGTTGTGGGAGACTTCGAAAAAACATCCATAAAACCTTTAGAAAACTCTCCGTAATCGTGTGTTAACATGAGAGCATGTCAAGTTGTCGTGTTAAGCTGCCACAAGCAAGTGTTAAAACCGTCATAACAATACCTGGAGGGTGTTCGGGGGTCAACGCCCCCGCGGCCCAGTCCATGACCAGGCCTCGACAATGCATTAACATTGCTACAAACAGGTACACGACTCGTACTGATTAATCAATTTTGAGTTTCTGTTTGATAAAAAAAAATTCTCAGCTCTTTGGACTTCGTCCAACACTCCTCAAGGACTCCATGAAAAAAATATATAATTTACACATAGAGAATCAACACTATATCTACAATCTGTAAACCATACCGCGGGTGGGAATAGAACCCGCGATTAGAGTCTCAAAACTCCAGACCGTCGCGTTAGCCACTGGTTCTATCCCCACCCGTGGTATGGTTTGTTTGCAATCGTGTCATTACGATTTCGTGAGTCATACAATCTGTAGACAAATTATGTAAATTAAAAGGGGTGTAGACAATGAGGTGCCTGTCCTTAAGGCTTTAAAGTAAAGGCACTATCCGAAATATTATTATATTATTAACTTCAGCTCGACTGCAAGGAAAATCCTGTGTGATGGAATATGGCAGGAAAACAATCCTGTGTGATGGAATACGGCAGGATAACAATCCTGTGTGATGAAATATGACAGGGAAAACAATCCTGTGTGATGGAATATGGCAGGAAAACAATCCTGTGTGATGGAATACGGCAGGAAAACAATCCTGTGTGATGGAATACGGCAGGAAAACAATCCTGTGTGATGGAATACGGCAGGAAAACAATCCTGTGTGATGGAATATGGCAGAAAAACAATCCTGCGTGATAGAGTATGACAGAAAAACCTTTGTGATGAGTATGCAGGAAAATATTGTATAATTGAGTAAGACAGAACTCTCCTGGAGTGAGAGAGGAATAGTAACATGCACAATGGAGTAAGGCTGGGAACTATACTGTGATGGGCTGTTAGTGAAATGTTTTTAACCTTTTACAACGTCACACCAGGGTACCCACACACTATATAGCATGTCAATTTTTCTAACAAAAACTGACCTTGCTGATGGTGAAGTTGGTGTGCTGGAGGCCTGAGCCGTCAGTCACCTTTCTAATCATGGAAGGAGATTCATATCCCACTATCTCGTAAAATACTTGAGGCATAAATAATTTCTTTTCCCTCTTCCTCTTGATCAATTTCACTGCCAAATCAATCATACTTGACATATTTTTCGACCTTCTGCCAATTTCAAATATGTCTCTACATACTCTGTTGTCTCGAGGAGCAGCGCGGAGGTCTTTCACGGTATTGTCTTCATTAATACTGCTATAGATATACGTAGCTAGTGTGATTACACAAACCACCAGGAGTATTTTAAATATGTTCTTGACAGACTTCATCTGATTGTTTGCTAGTTCATTAGTCATGACATTACCCCTGTGAAGTAGAGCAAATATTAACTTTCTCATAAGCCAGACCACAACAAATGGCAAGGTTGTTGTGGGAGGGGTTAAATCCACAGGGATCATACGTCACCTGGGGGAATGGAAGGCAGTGTCGATCCAAGGAAAGGGAGGGTAGCGTCAATTCTTTGGATCAAGATACCTCCCTGGAAGAGAATGTCAAAGTTGCATTGAGATGATGTAAGGTAGATCTGTCGTCCACAAGAGGGGGGGGGGTCATTAAGGCCCAGATAGACCTGTCGTCCACAAGGGACCATTAATTAAGGCAAGGCAAACCTGTCGTCCTCAAAGGGTCATTAAAGCCCAGGCAGACCTGTCGTCCACAAGGGGGTCATTCAAGTCAAATTTCCATCTATACTCACATTAAGAATATTTTAATCACTAAAAATAATGAAAATTGTGTATACGATAGCCTATACCGAGAGTATACATTTCTAGGTGCATGATACACCCTTGTGGAAATAGAAAATTTGAAATGAATTAAAAAAAAAACTAACTATACCGTTTTATGCTGGCTTTTTATTCAATAATAACAATAAATTATTATATTAGAAAACAAGCTTTAAAACCGTATGGATCATAAAGGGGAAATAGTTGCAAATTTGATGTAAAAAACGTTACTGGGAATATACGTTTAACACTCCACTTTTAAACATTAATGGTAGCGCTGAGTGAATATTAATTACAAAACTGACTCATAAACATCAGAGTGTTTTTACACTGTGAGGCGTGAATCTGATGCTGATTAAGAGGCCTTGATCCGAGGAACTGGAATTACACTCCCTACCTAAGCCTAAACAAGGGCCATCTCCCATTCCTCATACAATGTATGGCCTTGACGAGTTTAACGCTTCCTCACCAAAATATATATAAATCCCGTTATATATAAAGTTTAAACCCTGTTTTAAGCATTCAAGTTTTTACATGTACAAGTAGACCGAAGCTTGACATCAAATCAAGTTTTAAGACTATGATTTTTCAAGTCTAGAGTGCAGGGGAAAGAGGGACACACTGGTAGGGCGTGGACCATGGATGTGCTGTTACCAGTGTTGTCACTCACACCTCTCCTGCCATCATCATCCACCTGATATCATTAGGTCATCCACATCTGTACATTCATTATCACCCACATCCGTCCTACAGTCATCAAACTGTCAGCAAGATCATCCAAACTTACGTCACCCAAATCTTGTCTCACCATCCTCCAGCAAACACATTTCTGTATCTCCCTTAGACATGAAAAACGTTTATCTCCAAGACTGGTCTCCAAGTAAAGCATTGTTTACACGCACTGTTTACACTGCTTTTGTGGGGTAAACAACAAGAATAAATTGATAAGTACACGTAAGACAGACGACACACTGCAACTACCTAAAACAATTATAAGAATAACTAACTAGTAACTGAAGCAACTGAAGCAACTTAAACACAAGACTGAAAAGACGAACATTATATTACGAACAACGGCATGGAGCGACCATACCATGAAGTACAGTCGTCACACTTCATCTAAATTTCCAAAGAACTCGTGGCTACAATTTGGTGTTGGCAGGTTAGTATGTTAGGCAGCTCTTGCCACCTGCATTACTGTAACCGTTTACAAGAGAGATCTCTCTCCGGGCTCTGGTGGTCACACGAACTCTGCAAATTACCAAATAAAGAATATAAACCGAGACGGATACAGTGAAAACCTCTGTTCTGTTCCACAAGGTACAGTACTCACTTCCATCCTTGTCTTCATCCTTGCATCTGACGATAACCAGAATTTGCAAGACAGTGTCATTCATTGAGGAGACTAAATCTCTAAGTCGACATTAAGCAAGTCTTCAAATGGGCCTCAGAAAACAATAGGAAGTTCATTGAGGATAAATTTCAATTACTCCGTTATGGGAAACTTGAGGAAATAAAAACTGGATCGGGGTATAAAACAAATTCTAACCAAACAATAGAGCAAAAAACTAATGTGAAGGACCTGGGAGTGATAATGTCAGGAAATCTCACCTTCAATGATCACAACAATGTTTCTATCACATATGCTAAGAAAATGATGGGATGGATAATGAGAACCTTCAAAACCAAGGATGCCAAGCCAATGACGATTCTCTTTAACTCGTTTGTTCTCTCTAGGCTGGAATATTGCTGTACATTAACGGTCCTTTTCAAGGTAGGCGAAACAGCAGACCTGGAGAATATACAGAGAACTTTCACTGCATGTACATGAACCATAAGGCACCTCAATTACTGGGAATGCTTGAAGTCCTTTGACCTGTATACCTTGGAATGAAAGCGAAAAAGATACAATATAATCTACACCTGGAAAAATCGTAGAGGGTGTAGTCCCAAATTTGCACACAGAAATAACTCCTTAGGAAAGCAAAAGACTCGGCAAGAGATGCAACATTCCCCCCCCAATGAAGAGCAGAGGCACCATGAGAACGCTAAGCCAACACAATAAGCGTCAGGGGCCCAAGACTATTCATCTGCCTCCCAATATACATCAGGGGGATTACCAACAGACCCCTGACTGTCTTCAAGAAGGCGCTGGACAGGCACCTAAAGTCAGTACCTGATCAGCCTGGCTGTGGTTCGTACGTCGGGTCGCGTGCGGCCAACAGTAACAACCTGGTTGATCAGGCCCTGATCCACCACGAGGCCTGGTCATGGACAGCGCCGAGGGGGCGTTGACCCCGAACCCCCCTCCAGGTATATAATAACGTACAAGAAACAAATCTTTACCCTCGATCAATTATTATTATAATCAAAAAGAAGCCCTAAGCCACAAGGACTATACAGATACCCTCGATCAAGAAACGGCAAATATACGAGCCATAGAGAAAACCAGCAACCAATACTTACTCTGATACTAGGTTAGATGTCAGGGTTTAAGGTCTGGTTCATTAGGCTAGCGATCTATCTTGTTTAGAACTAAAAATCAGATTAATTCCTAAATGATATTCTCTAGCGTGACCATCAGCGAGGTCTGTCTGTGACTGCTGCAGCCTTGGTCAACACCGCCTCGCAATGCTTGCCATCGACTCTGACTACGGAACACGTTTTTTCTTTCATATTTCCAGTTCTGCGGTGGAATTGACTTAACTGTGGCGCCCTTTATTTTCTTCCACGAAGTCTTATTGTCGCCAAATAAAAACAAGATGGTAATTTGATGGTATATAATGCATCCGCTGGAAGAGAGAAACTTTGTAGCAAGCATTGGGATGCAAACCACGTCACCAACACCTTTCACCCACGACTGGGCAAAACATTGACCAATATTATTATGATAATTATCAAGAATATCCACGTACCAGTGTTATTTTTAAACGAATATTATTCCTGACACATTGGCACATTCTTCCTTATTTTCCAGGACTTTAAAACAATTCTCAATTTCCTGCTTAGGTTATTTTTACCCACAAGGAAAAACCAGAGTTTCCCGTATAACATCAACCAGGACACCTGACCAACCCACACCAGTCAACCATAATTACAGCATCAACCATTCACGTTGAATGGCCCCACATGGGTTTAACTCTTCCCCATACCCTCATCTCCCTGGATTCCTTTTGACCCTCAGATATCATTTCTTTCGTTAGATAATTTGTCCCGTGTGAGGGAATGTCATTTGGCAGCCATTGTTGGTGATGCTTGTGTCAACCTTGGAAAATGTTCTAGATCAGGGTAGATATACAATGTCTTGTATTCATGTAACTATAAAAACCTCGTAGCCATAATGGTGACGGAGGGGAGAGAAGACACCTTTGAATTTTACAGAGATTTTAAAGTGATTTTCCAAATGTCTTACTTGTTCTGATTTTATTTTTGTTTATTTTGTAAATTATATATATATATATATATATATATATATATATATATATATATATATATATATATATATATATATATATATATAAATCTATAGGGGAAGGAAGGCGGGGTAGGGGTCGTCCTCGAAAGGGTTGGAAAGAGGGGGTAAAGGAGGTTTTGTGGGCGAGGGGCTTGGACTTCCAGCAAGCGTGCATGAGCGTGTTAGATAGGAGTGAATGGAGACGAATGATACTTGGGACCTGACGATCTGTTGGAGTGTGAGCAGGGTAATATTTAGTGAAGGGATTCAGGGAAACCGGTTATTTTCATATAGTCGGACTTGAGTCCTGGAAATGGGAAGTACAATGCCTGCACTTTAAAGGAGGGGTTTGGGATATTGGCAGTTTGGAGGGATATGTTGTGTATCTTTATATGTGTATGCTTCTAAACTGTTATATTCTGAGCACCTCTGCAAAAGCAGTGATAATGTGTGAGTGTGGTGAAAGTGTTGAATGATGATGAAAGTATTTTCTTTTTGGAGATTTTCTTTCTTTTTTTTGGGTCACCCTGCCTCGGTGGGAGACGACCGACTTGTTGAAAAAAAAAAATATATATATATATATATCACAAACTTGTAATAGGTTACCTGTAACTTTCCAGGGGTCGCCGCCCCCAGGGCCCAGTCAGAGCAGTCCTGCTGGTTGTTGGAAGGATCATTCAAGCTGTTGGTGGCCACCGCTTGCAGTTCAACATATGCACCACAGCCATCGAGTTTCCTCTTGACGACGGCCCAGGGAAAGTTGGTGATTCCTCTTATGCATAATGGGAGAGTGTTGAAGAGTCGTGGTGCTTTTACACTTACTGAGTTCCCTTCCCTGACAGTGGCTTAGCAGACAGTGCAAGATACCCCTGTGGGCATTTTGCACCCTCTGTCAAGCCTCGTGGTAGTGCAAGTTTGGGCTCGAGCCCTCCACAGTCTACCAGGTGTAGATTATGAAGTATCTCGCCTACGATCTAAGGAGCACAGTTCCAGAGACTCCAGGTGGTCCCAGTAACTGAGGTGCTTGACTAGGGTTACACGAACTGGGAAGTTTCACTATTCATTCTCCGGTTCTACAATTCTTCCTGCCTTGAAGGAGGTCTTTAGTACACAACAATATTCCAGAGTGT